TTGTTTTGGAACACTCTGAAATTACAAATAATAGCCGTGGGATTTTGGTGGTGGATCTTTCTTCTTTGTCTACAGATGGCTTCTTCGGTGGAAAGAAAGAGGAAATATAACGGAACTTTTATAACTGTTACTTATTGGCGCAGGAATAAAAGAAGTCAAATGGCACGGGAACAAAAGAAGGAAAGTTGATGTACTTTGCAGGGAATAGATGTAACAAAAAGAATTTAAAATGACACATGGAGAATTAATTTTGGGAACTTTGAATTTGAAATGGAATATATGTTGATAGACAAGGAAATGAAGAAATAAAATATATTCGGTTGGGAAAAAAGAATATAAAAATAGTCTGATTAAAAATGAAAATGTAATGTTTGGATGAATATTAATTATAAAAAGGAGGTGTTTATAGATGTATAAGGATGGAAAATAAAACAATGTGATTAAAATAGAAAAAAAAAGTAAAGATGGATAATATTGATAAAAAGAAGACTCTTATAGAGAAATAAGAATGAATATGAATATGAGAAGAATCCAAGAAATTCTATTGATTTATATGGGGATGTGTCTGATGTAAGAATTAAGTCTCAATGTTAAATTGCAGAAAAAACTGAGAATGATAAACAGTAAAATTAAGAATATGCTTAATGAATATGCTGGAAACAATCAAATAATAGATGAATATGCTGGGAAACAGTCAAAATAATAGATGGAGATGTTTATGTTGGGTGTGATAGTAAAATAAAGATGAATATGTTGGGAAACAGCCAAACAATATGAATATGCTGGGAATCAGCCAAAACAATAGACGAGTATGCTGGGAAACAGCCAAATAATAAATGAATATGCTAGAAAACAGCCAAAAGAAGATGATCAAGAGCAAATAGTTAAAATAAATATGATTTAAGCTGGAATTGATAGTAATAATAAAATGATTATGTTGGGATTAGTATTAAAAATAAGGGTGACTATGTTGATATGAATAATAACATGAAGATGATAAGATTGTAATAATGAAATGACTCTGTATAAAATGAAGAGTATAATGTGTGATAAGTGGGTAAGTTAAAAGAGATTAGGATTTAAAGATTTAAGGTAATGGGTCCTAGGATATGGATATAGAGATAGAATTTAGGGTAATAATTGTAATTAAATATTGAGTTGTGTTATTTGGAAATTAAGATTTGTGGTGATATAATAGAAAGGTAAATGTTTAGATTAAGGTATTACAATTGTGGAAAAAAAATTCTGTTTTGGTTTTTATTTTAAAAGATGTAATGGTAGAGATTTGGGAAAGAGCTTGACAAAGAGGGGTAAGTGATTGTACCTATTCATGACCGAATCAGTGCTCCGTTCTTAAAAGATGTATTTTATGTTTATGTTTTAAAAAAATAATAAAAATGTTTTCACAAAAAAAAGAGAGACTAAAATAATTTCTAAGTAAAATAAAAGAGAACTTAAATATGGATAATTGATTATGGAGGATAAATTTGCATTCAACTTTATGTTCAGAGAATTTCATAAAGATTTGTACCCCAAACCAGTAGATAAAGGAAGTAATGAATAATGAATTAGATTCTATTTGCAAAAGTTGTATTGACTGAGATTTGGTTTGGCAAATAAGTATTTTGTAGTTGTTATTTCCATTTCACAAGGAAATTTATAAATGTATATAGTTATTCATATTAAAGATTGGGTTCATATTTTATGAAGAGGATAATGTGAATTGTTTGGTTTTGATTTAGCACAATAGGTGAACCTAGCCCTAAAAAGATGGAATCAATTAATTAGTCAAATTTCTTCGAATTTTGATCTGATGTCTGGTTTATGGTCAGGCAATGCTATAATTAAAGTTTTAATTTATGTGACCTGCCCTTGTCCATCTACAGCAAGGATATCCAAGCTTGTCAACTTTAAGACTTGTGAGCTTCAACTCCCAGAATTCCCCAGCCAGCCATTACAGATTAACAGAGTTGGAAGGGATATTGTAGGTCATCTAGTCCAGCCCCCCCGCCGAAGCAGGAGACTGTACACTATTTCTGACAAATGACAGTCCAATCTCTTCTTGAAAGCCTCCAGTGATGAAGCTCCCACAACTTCCGAAGGCAAGCTGTTCCACTGGTTGATTGTTCTTGCTGTCAGAAAATCTCTCATTATTTCTAGGTTGAATCTCTCCTTGATCAGTTTGCATCCATTATTCCTTGTCTGGCCTCCACGTGCCTTGGAAAATAGTGTTGGAAGAAATATCCATCTGGTTCAGTTCCAAGTGGGGAGAAAGACACTGGAAACATAGTGGCTGATTAGAAAGATGGTTTATTAATGGACAAGACCACCTGGGTTTGAGGTCCTGGGCAGCTGACCACATGGAGTAGAGAGTGAGGGTTATTTATATCCTCTCTTGGGCCTTGCCCTTGAGCTTCCTGTTCCTGTGCAAGAAATGTATTATATTGGTTGTTGTAGGGGTCACTACTAACTTTGTAGGCTGTCCGAGTCCCAGGCTTGGTTGAAGCTTGCTGGATGATGCAGTGAAGGGGCTTGTTGTGCCATGTGGTGAGCTCTGCTGCTAGACGGTAGAGAGCTAATCCTATTATGTCCTGAGGGGTCCCATCCCATCACCCTGGAGCTGAAGGTATTTTACCTTGTAGATAGGTCGGCCCAGTCCTGCTGGGCTATTAAGAAAGGTGGGGGCTGCTTTCCAAGAGCATGTTTCTCCTTTAGGGAAATATAATATTCTGCCTTTTTAAATATTCCAAAAATATTTCATTTTTCTAGGAGAGGGCTGGGTGCTAACTTTCTACAATAGCTTGACCCCTTCTTCTCTGTGGCAGCCCCTCAAATATTGGAAGACTGCTATCATGTCTCCTCTGGTCTTTCTCTTCACTAGACTAGCCATGCCCAGTTCTTCATATGTTTTAGTTTCCAGTCCCCTAATCATCCTGGTTGCACTTCTCTGCACTTTTTCTAGAGTCTCAACATCTTTTTTATAGTGTGGTGACCAAAACTGGATGCAGTATCCTAGGTGTGGTCTTAATAAGGCTTTATAGAGTGGTATTATCTCACTTGATCTTGCTTGTATCCCTGTTAATGCAGCTTAGGGCTGCATTTTCCCACACATCTACTGTTTCCCTGAAAATAAGACCCTGTCTTATATATTTTTTTAACTCCAAAATAAGCACTTGGCCTTATTTTCAGGGCGGTCTTATTATTTTGGGGTGCATGGAGCAAGTTGGGGCTTCTCTTGCCGTCTTACCTGATTTCCAGCTCTGTGTTTAAATATTTTTGGGGAGGGCTTATTTGGGGGAGGCTTATTTTAGCGCATGAGCTATTATCAGGGGGTGTCTTATTTTTGGGGAAACAGGATATTGAGCTCTTTAGTAATTTTCTGTTTAGTTGAAAGACAAACCATAGTTTGGATATCTTTTAGCTTTATGAACACTGGCTTGTTCTCGGGGGCAGACTTGGGGGGGGAGTGCTTCATCCTGGCCAGAGTTGGGGTGAAGCTCTCCCGCCTGCTGGCCCCACAATCCAAGCCCCGGGAACGCCGACGTCCCAGCTTTCCAGTGGAGGGAGGCGACATTCCCTGCCCAACTTTCTCTCCCTGTCTGGGGCTGTGGAACCAAATTGTCGGTGGGGATGTCCCACCACCCCGACGGGGACCTGGGCCGCGGGCAGGGGGCCGGGCAGGGAGGCACAAGGACCCTCAAAAGGCCTGGCAGAGCTGGTGCATGCGCACTGGACAGCTGGTCTTTGTGCATACCAGAAATCGTAAAAGCAGGTGACCAGTGCGCATGTGCATGCCAGAAACAGAAAGATCACCTACTTAATGTGTGCTCCTGTTTTGGCACTTGGTGCCGAAAAGGTTTGCCAACACTGGCCTAGGGCAAAGGTCTGGGTATTGGAAATGTGAACAAGAGGGGACATTTTATCATGCTTGGTGGATGTGCAAAAAAGGTAAAATAATTGATTCAAATACATATACTAATTCAGAAGATTTTAAAGAGTAATACACGATTGAAATCAGAGGATGTTCCTTTGGGCTGATCAATAAACAGTTGGAACAACAGTCAGGAACTTTGTTTTTATATAGAACTGCAGCAAGATAGGTGCAAAGGGGAAATATTCAATTAGGCACAATGGAGGAATGTACAGTGAAGATGATGTAAGTTGTCAAAGTGGCCAAATTGACATATTTGATCAGAAAAAGGACTTTAAAGTTTACTGCTAAGAAACCCCCTACAATTTTTTTGCACGAATCAGAAAAAATGAAATTATAACCCATGATTTTGGTGATTGAAAAATATTATGTAAAAAATGGAAGTTATCTTTGCAAACTTATACAAAGATATAAATTTATGTTTTTAACTGCTGTAAAGAAAATCAGAAGTTACCTCTTTATATTACAGTAAAAAGAAAAAGAAACCAATGTAGACATAATCACCAGAGGCACAGCCCTATTCAGAAGATAATTTTACTATTTTAAGGAGGGAGTGTAGCCAAAGCTATTGGATTTCAAACTTTTAAAAACACTTCCACAAGTACCAAGTATGAACTCAATCTCAATTTAATAATAGGAAGAAAGCTGTAGATTTATTAAAAGCACAGCCAGAAGGAATGCAATTTCCCCCCCCAAAAGGGACGGAACAAAAGCTTTAGCATCGCCCCTTAGTCTCCTGCCTTCTGTGAAAGAAGGAACTACGCAACCCTTGCCTTGCGTAAATAGCGTAACTGTAAAGGATCAGGCACTCCACCAATCACTGGAGCCACTTGGGCGGAAGGAGCACGTGCTCAAGCAAGCCCGTTCCCCCCACTCTCCCTCCCCTGTGATGTCACCAGCTTCACATTCCCCAAAACTGCACATGCTGCGGTCGGGATTCCACCCAGCTCCGCCGCTGTTGCGCTTGCGCAGAAGTGAGACTACAATTCCCGAGAACCTTTGAAGAAGGGCTGGGGCGCATGCTTCCATCCGGGGCAATCGCGCTGTTTTCTGTCTCCTCCTCCCCTGCTGCTGATGCAAGAGCTGAGCGCGGCGGCGAGGCGAGCAGGACTGGGCTGAGGCGAACGAGCCGGGGCGATTGACTTCCTGGGCGGCGTTGTGGGGTTTTCTCTCTCTCTCTCTCCCCCCCCCTCCACCCCGAGACGGCCGCTTCTAAATTTCTGCTTTGACGGTCAGGGAGAGTCGTCGCCATGTCGGGAGACGAGGTGAGGACAAGAGATGTGCCCAGGCCTTGGGGCGGCGTGAGGCTGGGGCTGTGGCCGCCGCCATGTGAGGAGCCGGGCTTGAGGCCTGCCCGCACCCTGATCAGAGCCCCGGTTGAATTAGCTTCCCTCAGCAAAGCCAGCTCCCTTCTCCCAGTCTGTGCGATACATTTAGGAGCCAGGCTTATTTTTTCATCTGAGCAGCTTTTGAGGAAACTTCTCCTTTGTCCTTGGTCGCTCTTTTTTTCTCTTCCCCCCACCCTGTGACATAAGGAAGCCATCCTTTGACCCCCCTTTCCCGCCTTAGGTCAAACTGAGTTAATGCCACTTCCTTTCCCACTGCGGTTTATTTGAAGAAAGCAGGAAAGTTTCATATTAAAACCCCCTCGCTGTTTTAAAAAGGGCCACAGGAACAATACGACAGGCATGGTTGCGGGAGGCGTCTTAACGTGCTTTGAATGGAGGAGCGTCTTCCCTACTAGAGTGCCTGATGAAATGTTGATTTTTTTTTTTTTTTTGCGTATGGCGTGGCTTAGAAATCATCTTTTTTTGGGTGCCAGTTTTTAAAGGATCCCTAATTAGGTTGCTGCTCTAGCGGCCCGATTTGGTGTCAATTCAAAACATCTCAAATTTGTAATAACTGAATAACTCAGATTCAGGAGAAGACTTATATCTGTGCTTGCAAGCACTCTTTTTATTCCAGAGTAAATTGTTATAATATTTTTTAAAATCTCTAGAACGAGTATCAGAAACCTCTCATAATATATCCAGGAGAAGTTGTGGCTCCATTGGAGCTGGGTGGCCAATAAATTTAAATTAATCGTATAATTTTGAACTCCCTGGAAACTTTTCATGGGCAGAATAATCCTATTATTCCACCGGAATCCTACTATTCAACCTGAGTGGTCTGAGGATCCCTAAAGATCTATTGATACCTGAGCAAAAACCTGCTTGCCTTTCCTATTTAAAGGGAAAATGCCTCATTTTAAAATTAAAAGGAATTTTATATTTGGAAGCCTTTGTCGTGATCCTTTAAAATATTCCTGTTAAGTATGTCAATCAATTTCTTCCTGTTTTTGGAAATATGTTTTCAATCCTTAAGTGGGGAGACTTTTGCAGAGGGAAAATTGTTTTATTTTTCAGCCCTTGAGAAATTCTGGGCAATACAGAATATGAATTTGTAATAGATTAGAATATAAAACCAATTTGAGTAGACCTCTACATTATTTATAAAGCTGGTGTTGTCTAACTTTATGGTACTCTACTCCATAAAATAACTCCATATGCTTTGCTGTGAATTGAACTAATAATTTCATTTCAGGTTTGGATTTGGCAACAAATACACCACTTTTGATAATTAAAATTTAATCTGCATGTCACAAACTTTGCTACTGCTACTTTTCACTGAAGGCATGCCCATAAAGCAAATTTGGCAATTGCATTTGCAATTGATTAGATAAAAATCCAAACCCCTAGAATAAGCTATTATTGAACTGTCAGTTCATATTGTCAACTCCCAGTTGTAGTCCAGTGATTTATTGAAATTATGCATGATTGGTTTCTGATTCAGTTTGGTTGATAGAATGATTCATTTTTAGGGTCCTCTTTGTAGCAGAAATGCTTAAAAAGATTTTCCAATACTTGGAAAACAGATGTAAAATAAGGTTTTTTTAGGAATAATTATGAAGCATTGCCTGCAGAAGGATGAAAAACAAGGTGGATTTCCAGGTGGAGAACTTTTCTGTTCTCCATAAAATAAATGAATTAATAATAACAAAAATGTCAGTTATACTGTTGCAGTTAAGATGGCTATAAATGTATTTAATTTTTTAAGTCGTTAAATAATGTGGTTTGTGCCAGCATGTCAGTGTAGATCTGTATTCCATGTATTGATGAATTTAATCTTATTTGAAATATTATGAATTCAGGAATAGACACCTCATGTTTTTTCTTTTGTTTACAACTGCTTGATGGCATATGAATCATAAGTCCAAAATGTATAAATTTGGTTTCCTAGCAATAATACTTAGTACAATATTTAGGATTGTAGTAAAGATTGGTCTCATAAGCATAACAATTTCTCTCCAGCCAAAAGAAATTTAATTTCATTTTGGTATAATAAAGTACTTTACATTAGACGAAAACGTGGTTGTGTTATACCAACTGAAGTATATCAATGTATGGGTATTTTGTCTTTTCTCCCGCCTGTAGCTTTCATGCCCCATTATCTGCTTTAAAAAGTCTACCAATTGAAACAACATTGGGACATGTGAAGAATTCCTCCCTGTTCTACAGTCCTGGCAGCTCAATTTATTGACTGGCTCTTTGGATATTTGTTCTCCTATCTTGACCACTGTTGATATCATTAGGATAGGTTTAATCTGTGGTGAAAAAATACATATCTCTTCCAAACTGCAGATATTTCAATAGTATTATTTTAACATAGATATTAAAGAGACATTAGATCAGGGATGCTTATTCTGATGCCTATGGATACTTGGTATTAGCCAGGTTAATCACCTACCTACCTTTTAATAGTTTGTTTTAATTTTAAAAACCAAAAGTAGACTGGAATACAAGAGAGTGCTAGCCTCCAGTTTCCTTTCTGAGAAAAAGTATTTTGTGATAGCTGCATCAATGTGGTGATCCACATGAGAGATCCAGCAAAATTCTCTCAATATTACATTTATGCCTCTTGATTTTGGACAAGTTCCTATCTCTGCATTAAGTGGACAATTAAAATTGAAAGAAGTAATTTAACGAACTACTGTTTAAGTTGATATTTTAGATACAATCTTTGGTTTTTGTTTTCTACAAAAAAGTATTACAGCTAGTTTCTAATATTAAATGCATTCAAAGACTTAGGGTTTCTTGTCTTTAAATATAAATTAATATGTTTGTTTGAAGGTGTCTTTTAAGGAAAGATTATTTTTAAAAGTCCTGTATAACTAGTTAGTGTGGTGTGATTCCATTATACTACTACTCTTAGATGTAGAGCATTATAATTAAGCTTGTAATAGTTTAGACTATGATATTCATAAACAAAACTTTGTTTTCTGTATGGGTGTGTGAAAAATTATAGATCTAGATAGGTTTGGCAGAAATATATGTTTTCTAGCAAAAAAAATCCCACTTCATTCAGTGTAATTTACTGGAAAATAAACATGGGATTGCAGTTTTCAGATAAAATACACAGGACTTGATTGCCTTCAGCATTTGAACTGAATTTTTGGAAGACTGTCCAGAATGAGTTTGGTGAGAGAAATTCATAATATCAGATTATTCTTTTTCTACAGGATTCAAAACTACAGTAGTTTTGTGGTTATATAAACAACTTGATAATTGAGATGAAGATGTGTTTATTTTCAAATTAATTATTTAGTGTGAGAAGCACAAATTACTACCTAATACTTGAATACCAGATGTTGCTATTCCTTCTGGAACTTAGTAATGGGTGCCTAAAATAACCTACATATGTTTTGGTGGAATTATTAATTGTTAAAACTACCGTACTTTTCAGAGTGTAAGATGCATTCCCCCCCCCCAAAGAGGGTGAAAATGTTGGTGCATCTTATACACTGAATACAGCCATTTTTGGCCTCCCAAAGCCCTGTCCTGCGAGTCTCGTTTTTGCAAAAAATGGGCCCGTTTTTCACAAAAATGTGGCACACAGAGGGTTTGGGAAGCCTGCAGAGTGCTCCTGGGGGCTGGGGAGGGCAAACACTTTTTTTTTCTTGTTTACCTCTTTGAAATCTTGGTGCGTCTTATAGTCTGAAAGATACAGTAGTAGATCTTTAAATTGCTGGGAAACCAATCTTAGTGCGTTGGGTTGTGTAGATTATTTAACTGTTTAAATTATTAAAACTTTTCTATTTTTCCCATATTAAGTTTTCAGTTATTTCCTAATGTACTCTGAACAGCATGGTAGAGATCATATTTGATAAACTTTCTATTATGTTGTGTTTGATTGATTATTTAATAAATGTTTATATTTATATGTATACTTATAAATCTGGAGGGTATTTTTATGTTGCAAATTTGTGTTAAGAAAATACTGTTGTTTCTTGCAGATGATCTTCGACCCTACTATGAGCAAGAAGAAGAAGAAGAAAAAGAAGCCTTTTATGCTTGATGAAGAAGGTGGTGATGCACAAACAGAAGAGACACAGCTATTAGAAACAAAAGAAGTAGAGCCAGAACCAACAGAAGACAAAGATATAGAAGCTGATGAAGAGGACATCAGAAAGAAAGGTAAGCTATTATATATCTACTAGAAATCCTGTTTTCTGTTTCTTTTTTATTTTTCTCAAGAAAATATGCTTATAAAAATGAGACATTTAATTTGTGCTTTTTAAAAGTTTTCCAGAGAAACCCATATGTTAAGCAGCAGAATGCTTAATAAAATGTTTGTAAAATGCATTCAGACTTTGCTCACCTGGCTGGCTGTGAACATGTTGCTCTCTTACCATTATTCATGGAAGATAGAAATGAATAAGAGAACTTTTTGTTGCTGGCTTGACTTTCATGGAGAGAAGATCATTTAAAAAACCACTGATTTACGCTATTGTATTGTATGTTTCCAAACTTCCTGAAATATACAGGCTAAAGCACACCTATCTCATACAGCTGTAGTTTAATGGTTTGCTTTGTTTCATATATATAAATATTAAACAGATTGCCAGCTATGTTCTTTGGTTCATTAGTATGAATCAGCCAACTATTAACATTTTAGAATTGGGCTCTCTATTTACATTTCTGTGTTTCATGATAAAATTTCATGAGAAATTAAGTTGAAGTAGCTTTGGCTAGCAAGATGGGTGGCATATAATAATAAATAAATAAAAATAAAGAATTATTTTTATTTTATTGTCTGGCTTTAAAATAATTATGTTTTTCTCTCTCTGACTTATTACTGTTAAGGCCAGTAAGGCATTGAAGTAAATGTTGTAAACTCAAGGATTTTGTGATAAGCATGTCTTAAAAAATGTGGACTGTCATGTTTATATTGGGAACTAATTCTTATAGCTTGCTTCTCAGTTATTACATCCTGAGTTATAGAGATCTACTGGATATAATGTGTAAAAGTCTAAATCAACATTTTATACATTATTGAAATAGTCTAATTTAGTTTTTCATTTTTTCTCATGTATTCTGTTATTGAAGTTTTCTGACTTCATTGTCACAAGCTTGCTTAAATTTCTTGATAAATATATCCATACTCAAATCATAAAGTAATCTGAATGTTAGTAATGTACTGCCTTTCCATTTCAGATGCATCAAATGATTTAGATGACTTAACCTTCTTTAATCAGAAGAAAAAGAAGAAAAAAACAAAAAAGATATTTGATATTGATGAAGCTGAAGAGGGACTAAAGGTCAGTTGACACAGGGTTAAAGGGCATGTTTGTGTCTTCATCTTACTAATTTAAGATTTAGACTCCCCCCCCACAAATAACTTTGCTCTCAGCTTAAAAAAAGGAAGAAACTTGCTACTGTATATTATCAGTAAAAAAAATGAAATTATACTAAAGAGTAATACATCCCCTAGACTTTTGCTTCATAGGTGACCTCTGAATTAATTGATTATTGCCATGATCAACAGAGAGGTGCATATTTTAAATTGTTGTACATTATTTTATGTTTGCTGCTTGTATCATTAATGTTGTTTATCTTTTTCTTCTTCCTACCCTCCCAATTGTTCTCAAGGACCTAAAAATTGAGAGTGATGTACAAGAAACAGTAGAACCAGAAGATGACCTTGATATCATGTTAGGAAAGAAGAAGAAAAGAAAGACTGCAAAGTTTACAGATGAGGATGAAGTATTAGATAAAGATGAAGGTAACTTTTTTGGTGGTCTCTGTTGCTATTGGTCAAAGTTGATCACACTGAAGGTTGATACAAAAAGTGTAGTTATATTTTGATTTTATAATCAGGGTGGAAGACAAGTTATTGTAGCTATTAGCATTCTGTCAAATGCTGCAGTGGTGTAGAGACAGCTTTGGTTTAATATAACATTGACCATCTTCACTGATATTATTGTACAGGGTGCCACAGTGTCTTCTACATTGCATTAGCCACAGCAATTTAATTTGTGAGTCCAATAACTGAGTACTTCAATTAGACTCTAAGCTGTCTAACCTCTAGCTATGCAGCCCTTTTCACTCCTTGTTCTCTTTGGCCCTGATCTTCATGTCTTTCCCATTTGCCTTTTCAAAAGCCAAGATAATACCTGAAAGTATTTGAAAGGTGTGGGGACAGTTTTAGAGCAACAATTGTGTAGGGGTATTCCAATAAATTTATGGTTTTCCATTTTCAAAGACGCCTTAAATAGCATTGTAAACCAGCAGAATATATATTATTAACCATCAGTTTCATAGTCCACTGTCTTTGGAAAGATCTCATGTCTGTGTAGTCATTCAGATATCATGGGCACAACCAACTAAATAAGAAACGAAAGTACGTTCTTAAACTCAAACAGATATTAAATTTTGTTTGATAAGGGATAAGGATATTTTCTATCTGAACTTTTTTTTGAAACTTCTAGCACTTTTGTGGAAAGAGAAGAAAGATAAATTTGCCTTTCCAAATGCTGTGCCTCACCTTATTCTTAATACTATTTAGATTAACTTTCCCTTTCCCCCCAGTATCTCCTCATTTAGCAAAGGGTCTAATGTAGGATGTTCTGGCTCAAAAATACATGTGTACGTGTCACATAAAAATATTCTGTGCACATTGTGGAATGGAAATCGATGGGGTCTGAAATAATGTTTGTAATTCTGCAGCATTGGAGGATGATGACAGCAAAAAAGATGATGGAATCTCTTTTAGCTCTCTGTCAGGACCTGCATGGGCAGGCTCGGAAAGGGATTACACATATGATGAGGTAAATACTTTTCACACCTTTTAACTAATTCATCTATTGGTCTTTTATTATAATATGTGGGGATCATAATATAATCTGAGTTTAAATATTGCTTTGGATTTATAATGAAATGAAGAGAAATACAGCTTTGTTGTTAGATTGATTTTTTTTATTCTGCCTCAGGATTATAGAATTATGAGTAGAACATGCATATTTTAAATAAAACTGTAGAGAAGGAGAATTTTTTTAAGCTTACTATGCTGACTTTTCTAATTCAGAGAAAATTTCATGCTTTTTTCTCAAATAAATAACAATAAGAGACAAACAAATATGCACTAGTATTAATTTGTAAATCATCGATATTAATTGATTTTTGATATTATTTTTTTATTCCTTGCAGTTGCTGAATCGTGTATTTAACATCATGAGGGAAAAAAATCCTGATATGGTAGCTGGTGAAAAAAGAAAATTTGTTATGAAGCCTCCCCAGGTTGTAAGAGTAGGAACAAAGAAAACATCATTTGTTAACTTCACAGATATCTGTAAACTGTAAGTTTTGTTATATTGCAGTTTGGGACAGGAATTAGTAAAAGTTGGGATCAAGGAATTGAGTTCTTGGCTATTGTTCAGTTATGAACTGTGAATTTATATAGACAAAACGGTTAATTTATCTGCAAATGCAAATAGTGTCTTATTCTGAAATGACTGTTGCATATGTATATGATTCATTAGATGATCAACTGGGAATTCTTTTTAGCCAATCTAGTGAAGTGAATATGGTTTATCGGCTTTTGTGAAATTCCTGTTCATTTGTGCTAGGGAAATTCCTAGTGAGGTTGGGCTAATATGTGGAAGTGTTTTAGAATCACCAGAATAATTATTAATTAAGAGGAATAATAATAAACTAATATAAAACAATAGCCACCAGAAAATACTGATTTCTTAGCTACATCCTTAACAGTTTTTCTTCAGACCTCTAGACTGAACATCTAAAGCTTGGGAGAGTCAAGATATAATGAGATATTGGAATTGAGGCTAGCTTGCATACAAACATTTAGTTAAATCCTTGAATACTTTCAGCAAAGTAGATAAGGCCATGGGGTTATCATTTTGAAATAAATTTCTTTTTATGTACAGGTTGTAATGTCGAGCAAAATATTTTTATACAGGTAGTCCTTGACTTACGATGGATTAACCAAAAGCTACTTATGACCTTGTCCCAAAGTTGTGGCCCCTGCAGACCCCTGCAGTCACTCTCTTACAATTCAGTGCAGGGATGCTGCAGTGTTCCTCCATTCCCCTACAGGCCTCCCACATCATTGGGCTGCACACCTTCCTCCTCACTTTTCAAACATCTATGGAGCTTCATTAAGGAAAGACCATCCCGTTGCTGGGCTATTTGGCACGATCCCGAAAGAGGCTCCCATTTTCCACATTGAATTGTGGTATCTCAGAAAATGATGCCTGCTTCCAGGATTGCACCATGTGACCCAGTAACAAAGTGGCTTGTTATGCTCCCCTAATGTGAGCTTGGTAGTATTTTGCCATGTTCTGTATATCCATGCTGTGGAGCTTGGGTTAGGGAGGCATGGCAGGTTGCTTTGTTGCCTGCATAGCATGATCCTGGAAGCAGCTGCCATTTTCCAAGTGGTCACACTGAATTGTGGCTACTCAGAAAAATGGCTGCTTCCAGGAGTCATGTACCCCAGCAACAGAGCGAATTGCTTTGCTTCTTTAATCTGAGCTCCAGAAATCTTCAAAAGGTATATGCGCAATGAGTGACGTGGGGTGAGGAGGAGGAGGGTGTAAGGCCTAGTAGATGGGAAGTAGGCCCAAGGCCTGTGAGGTTCCCAAGGGACGGAAAGCAGAACATGGGTTGCCTTGGTATGAGGGGAAACCTTGAGAAGCTTTGGACATGGAACTGCACTAGGCCTCCCAGAGCTTCCTCTATCCTCTGTTTAATGACCCATGCATTCATTTAACAATTGCATTAGGGCCCTGAGAGTTATCTGTATAATAGCTGGATGTTTTTATAATGGTACTGCCATAAGGTGTTTTGTTTGGTTTTGGCTTACTCTGAGATAGAAATCTATTCATTGTAAATTTGTAAACTGTACCTAGTTTGTTGAGATGACATTTCAAACATGTGAAGCTCCAGACAGTTCAGTTCTGACTCATTGTGTAAATCATATACTGAAAGTCTTGATCTCATTCATATGAAACTTTACTGCAGTTTTCTTTAGATAAACAAAATGTGCTATTGTAACTTACGTTGCATTGCCATATCTGATATTAGATAAATATGTCATTTTGCTATCTCAGAGTTTATGAACAAATTTAATATTATGTTTCCCTTGAGGTTATTATCTTATGTGGTGGCCTAAGCAATCCTTACTTCTTTTCACTGACTCCTATTTTATCTTCTTCAAATATCCTAAAAAGACATTAGCTTTTTTAAAAAAAGTTCAATGATTTGTATTGGCATTGCACATGCCAGATGCTACACTATGATAATAAAAGAGATTTAAGTATTTAAGTACAAGTAAGTACTTGTTTTGGTAACTAGATAAACTTCCTTACTTTTAGATTACATCGTCAACCTAAACATCTCCTGGCTTTTTTGCTGGCAGAATTGGGTACAAGGTAAGTACTTCGAACTTAGTCTTGTCTGTGATATTTATTCTTCATGAATATTTCTGAATTATTGGTAGTACAAAGATTATGACAAAGATTATGACATCTCTTCAGCAAGTTGACTTTCAAAAATAACCGTGTTGATGTAAGCCATTTCAAAAATTGGTTTAAGTCACTTGTGGTTCAATGATTATATAATGTTACAGAATTTAATGCACAACTTGTAGGTTTTGTATTTTTAATAAAGCTGTGCAGTTAATTCAGGTGGAACTTTTTTTTTTCAGCCAAGTGCCACTCATCAAGGCAGCTGTGCTTTCCTAAAGATTTGGTGCTACTGCTTTGATAAATTCTTGACAAGAGGTTTCTTTTCCACATGCTTATGTACATATAGAAACCTAGGAAGACTTTCAGAATGGCCTTCAGCTTCAGAAGGTGAAAAGACCTTCACCAAATCTTCAAGGGTGAAAATCTAAAGGAAGTCTCTATATTAGAAATGCCTATTTTTGATATGCTATGTTTTTTAAATTTGAACTTAAGGAAATGCAATTTTTTTACCAGCTTCCCTTCATATAGCTATTTGTACATTATAGCTATTTGTACACCCCACCCCTCCTTGTTTGAGTATTGGAATATTTCTAATACATATTTAAATGCTGAAATAGTCAAATTTCACGAGAGAAATACTTCACCAAATAACCAGTTACCTTTATTCGTGCAAAGTTAACATTCATCACATAAAGTGATTGCATAAAGTGAATGCGGTCGCACGGGTGATTATGGGGGTGACTCGATGCTCCCATGTAACACCGTTCCTGCGTGAACTGCACTTGCTCCTGGTGGTCTTCCGGGTGTGATTCAAGGTGTTGGTCGCCACCTTTAAAGCACTCCATCGCATAGGACCTGGGTACTTAACGAGACCGCCTTCTGCTTCCGATAGCCTCCCATCGACCAGTACGCTCCCACAGAGAGGGTCTCCTCAGGGTGCTGTCGGTTAGACAGTGTCGACTGGCGACCCCCAGGGGGAGAGCCTTCTCTGTGGGGGCACCTGCCCTCTGGAACGAGCTGTCCCCTGAGATTCGTCGGATTCCCGACTTTTGTAGCTTTCGCCGCGCCCTTAAAACACTATTATTCCATCAAGCAGGGCTGGCCTAAAATATTATTTTAATCGGTTATTTTATTTTAGATTATTGGCCAAACTGTTTAATAATTTTAAATTGTTTTTAACTTTTATATTGTTGATTTTTTATCTTGGCTGTACAGCGTCCTGAGTCCTTTGGGAGAAGGGCGGTATAAAACTTTAAATAAATAAATAAATAAATAAATAAATAAATACATACATACATACATACATACATACATACATACATACATACATACATACTAAAATCGGATACAATTCCTGCTGTAGGCTTTTCTCACAAAATGAATGTTCTGGTTCCCATTCTTAGGTTTAAATGTCCACTTTTGCTGAGTTTGTCTGGCATAGACAATGTCCTTCTAGAGCCTACTGTTTATTACCTAGTTGACTGATTTATTAATTCAAGCTCTTTTTTGCAGTATGGAGTTTGTTGTGATCAAGTAGAGGCTGACCATTTAATGTTACAGTTTTTCCTTGATGTGTCTATGTTTAATGGGAGTTTCTGAATGAGAAGTTGAAAATAATAAAGGAATTATGGCTTGAATTTATATCTCTACTTATGCAAAATATACATACACAATACTGATACACATATGTTTGTATATAAGTATTCAAACTTTTGAAAAATATAACCATTCCCCGTGAAGTGGTCTGAGGAAAAAGTTTAAAGAAAAACTACTTTGCTTTAATTTACAAGATATAAAAGCTTTCTAATCAGGAACCCAGATTACCATATTTTTCGGAGTATAAGATGCACCAGTGTATAAGACGTACCTTAATTTTTGGGGAGGAAAATAGGAAAAAAAAAATTGCCTACCAGGTATTCATCTGCCTAGTCCTTAGCCTGGTCAGATTCAACACATTAGTTTGCTCGCTGGTTTTGAGGTTGGGGCTGGTTGGGGATAAAAAAACAGCTTCTAAAGCACAGCTGATCGTCAGAGGGAGCTCCAGTGACTAAAACAGGTGAAATGCGGAAAGGGTAAGAGAAGGCAGCTGTTGTTCTGGGTAGCCATTTTGGGCACCATGCATCATGTTTTCAGCTTCCAAACACGTCACGTTTTCGGGCAGCGATCGGTGGTCTTGAAGGGATTTCAAACGGAGTGTTGGAGGCTGAAAACATGACGCATGGAGCCCAAAAACACAAGCCATTGGTGGCAATCTGCAGCCAGGAGGAAGACGCATGTGGGCCGGCATGTGGGTGGGGTTATCTTTGGAGTGTAAGACGCACCCAAATTTTCAGCCTCTCTTAAGAGGGAAAAACATGCGTCTTATACTCCAAAAAACATGGTAACTTGAATACCACTTCTAACCTTCAAAACTTTTGTACGCTTTTAAGTTATCAGTCATCAACATTCTACTAGCACTACTGATTGCTATTCTTGTCTGCAATGGCCACTTTTTTTGGCTCAGTCTGCAATGTGGGGATAAGAAGGATACATAGATATTGCATTTATTCTCTTTTAGTATTCTCTTCCATTTCTATCATTGATGCTCTCTGAATACTGTGTTTTCTGTTGTGTTTTTTCCCTAGAAGGCAACACACGTCTATTACATTTTCTTTTAGCTGTTTTAAAACATAGCTTGCCATAAGCATTTAAAAGAAAATAGCTGTTGTATTTCCACGAAAGCTACAGGATATGCCAAGGGTATTAACATTTGTGTGTGCATACTGTTGAGTCACTCTTGACTCCTGGGCAAGTCCTTGCAGTTTTTGTAGCAACATCTTTGTAAGTAGTTTGCTGTTGCCTGCTTCCGTATGACAGAATGACTGGCCCAGAGTCATCCAACTGGCTTCATGCCCAGGGCAGAACTGGAACTTATAGTTTTACAATTTCTGGTTTGTCATTGCACTAAACTGGCATTATATTTTTGTGTAGCCCTATTTTGGGTATAAAGTCATCAACTTTTAGGAATGTGTTTGGCTTTACTGTGTGATAAAAGATTGCAGTAAATGGAGAGCCTTTGAATGAAGATTTGCTTATATTGTGAGCATTTTGGAAGCCCTGAAGCCTTTGTGTCGTTGAAAATATGCAATTCTAATTTTAATATCTATTTTATTCAGTGGTTCAATAGATGGCAACAACCAACTTGTAATCAAAGGAAGATTCCAACAAAAACAGATAGAAAATGTCTTGAGAAGATATATCAGTAAGTGTATTCTATGATTGCAGATTTATGCGGCTTCATTTAAAGTTTTTAATCTTGCTTCTTACATAATTATTAGTAGTGCCAAAATTGCACTTGTAATTCATTGAAGTCTTCTGAAACTACCATATTTTTGCTGGTTGTCGAAAAAGAAAAAGTGCTACAGTACAACCAGAAGTGTCATTTTGAGGAATTACCTGCTATATCTTTGATAAGGTGAAGGTATATAGAACAATTATAACTGAATGTTTGGATAGTCATGTTTGTATAGGAAAATACAAATCATTGGTCTTTTGCTTATATACTAAAAAATTATTCATTCTGGTTTTAGTTGATGTAATAGTATTTTTTGTTTCCATGGGGTAACAAAACATATTGTTACTGCATGGAAACAAATGAGGTAACAGTTAAGTGGTTATTTCCATGTTCTATTGTCAGCTGCTTATTAAAAGATTATAGAGGTACACTATTAAAGATCTCAGATATCTCCAATACAGAGGATTGAATAATGGGATATTGAAAAGGAAGTCTGGCAAATGTTGCTGATCATTTAGGATGCTTATTTTGTAAAGTATGGACCAGTGATGTAAACTTAGTGAATAGTGAAGAAAGCTAATAGAATGGTTAAATTTTAGTCCTGAACAGACAGGTGTTAACAGTGAACCATATTGATGTTTCCTTTCACAATTCTGTGCTAGATTGAAAAAAGGTTGACTGATAATACAGCTGTGACTTTTGTATCTGCCAAAGCCAAAAGTCAATTCTCCCATCTTGTAAGCTGCTTGCAAGACATTCTTCTTCTTTTGTGTGATATAGAGGTGCATGCAGTAAATGGGCAGAAAAATGTATAATTTAAGGGGTATTAACCTTGCAATGAAAGAGATAAATACTCTTGTTTACTACTTTTATGTTTTATAGTCTAGTAAGTTTGCAGTTGGTTTCAAAAATTACCTGATCATGTAAATGATAAATGCATAGTGGATAAAAATGTGTTTACTATTTGTTTATAATTTCTTATTGCTAATATAACTTATTTAATTGTTCCCACAGAGGAATATGTCACCTGTCATACGTGTCGGTCACCAGACACAATCTTGCAGAAGGACACCAGATTATATTTTTTGCAGTGTGAGACTTGCCATTCGCGCTGTTCTGTTGCCAGCATTAAAACTGGTTTCCAAGCTGTCACAGGCAAGAGAGCGCAGCTCCGTGCCAAAGCTAACTAGTTGGCTGGTTGACCCTGAATTTTTGCGAAATGATCTGGGTGCAAATGGCTGGACAGGCTTACAACCTGAGTGGATTTCCGATGTATTAAAAACAAGATAGTAAAAGCTGCTTTGCTTTGGGTTGGTCTGTGAGATTCTTGCAAGATCAGATCCTCAAGCTGTTGGCATTTGCTAACTGAATATTTTACCAACTGTCAAGTGATGAGAAGGGAGGTGCTTTTTAATCTGTTCATAGAATTCTGTAAAATGCAAGAGAAATTAAAGTTATTATAACAGTGACTCTTTCATTTGAATTTTTTGGTTTCTCTGTTAACAATAGTATGAATACATGCAAGCGTCATGGCCAATTGTGTTATAAAACATTTGTTGTCCTAATTAAGTGTATTGTAAAAGCAAATGGGCACAATTGAATTAATGTAATGGAACATATCATAGAATATTAAATCACAAATAGGTTCTCCCAGTTGAATATCTCCATGCATATAGGAATTTTATCATCTGGTTACAAGGGACAAATCCCACAGATAAATGTGAGATTTGTATTAATTGGGTTTAGGTTAGCTGTCTAGCCAGCTTTCCTTTGCATTTTGGTGTTCACTTTGTGCATTAGGATGGTCTAATAAAAATTATTAAACTATATCAAGATGCCATATTAATGCATGTAATTTTGGGAAAACATTGCAGTGTAAATGCACATTATCATTGCCATAATCTAGAGTTTTTGTAATGCTAGCTTTCAATACTGTACTAAGAAAGTTAAATCTTTAAATTGTAAAAATGAATTATGTATGTATCACCCATTTAAATGAAAACACAAAAGTTAGAAAAAGTTAGCGCAGCTATTAAAATTTAAATAATCTTACATTCCTCCCCCCGCCCTCCAAAGCACTGTACTTTCAGTTTTGGGAAAGGATACCCAGCATATGTTCTTCCTATCACAGTATTCACCAATTTCAGGACTGACCCAGAAACCAAGCTGTCAGAAAGCTTGGTGATCTTTATGCAGTAGTTGGTATCCATTTTGTCAGTTTTTTCAGGCCTTAAAGCAGAGTTATTTAAGAAGGTTATTGTATTCATTGGGATCTTTCAAAAGAGGCTTTGGATAAATTAGTACAGAAATCATGGACTAAGAGGACCTGTGGCCTTAGCATTTGGGATTTTTGACCAAGGACGTGGGAAAGAGAAATAAGTGGACATCTTTTGCAATTGAATATTATGAAGGTAATCTTTATTGGAGCTGATGCTGAACAGCGTGGGTTCAGATTTGATGGTGGCACCAGTTACTGGTGAGTAATGTAAACAAAAGAGCTCATACAAGCAAGGGTCTGCATTGGATAAATTGGAATTTAAATGGTAAACACTATTTTTTCCTCACAATGTATAGAGTGATGTAAGACAAGGCAATAAGTAAAATCATAATTTGTTATTTTGTTTTAATTTTTTTTTTGTTCATGTTAGCTGACCAGAATTGTGGATGCAAAATAGGTGGCCATATAAGCTGTTTAAGATACTTAATGTGTGGAATGAGGATTTAACTGGTGAATACTAAAAATGAATCTTGATGTGGTGGTGGGTATATGTGTAAAAATTACTTTCCTTCTGTGAAGAAGTTATGAAATAATTAGAAAAGAGATTGCAATAAAGTTATTAATACCTATCTCATTCTTTCTGCAAATACTGTATGTGTCTAGTTAAAGAATTAGAATCTGGAGTCAGCCGATGAATTTGAAAGACTGAAAAAAGTATACTCATAGTACATAGTATTCCTCATTACCAAATATGATACAAACTGCCAAGTTGATGTTTAAAGTTAAGCCCATAGAGCAGGCAGTTTTTATGACAATTACATGACCTCACCAGGATCAACTGGACACACTCATCCTGTGTGTAGAATTCTTCAGTTATCCAATGAGGCGAATTGGACTGGATTACATAATACTTCAGTATGATCTAGCAGGATCCTTATATGTCTTTGCCTGCTTGGTTATTTTAAAAATGTGATGCTTTTGAATTTAAAACTCTAAAACATTTGCAAGGTTTAAGGAAGAGTGCCTTTTCACTACTGTTCAAGATTTCTTATTTATCTTATCAACCCTTGTTATCAATATTGAAAGGTATTTGGTTAATGGGTGTTAACTGTGATACATTAACTAAAGTTGAATCTAGAATCTTTGTTGGAATTGTAATTTGTATGTAAATTTACATTCAACTGAGTTTGCCAGGAAATTAATTTTTATATTTTCTCCAAAGGTTTTTAAGAATAGAAAAGTCTAAAGTCGTTTTTTTTTAAAATGACTTAAATGGCATCTGAGCTGTAATGAATGTTGGATGTACCTTATAAATTGAATAAAGTCAGGATCAGTGACTCTTGTATAATTTTCCAAATTGTGGTTGTTTTCACAGGATGCTTTTGCAGACTTATCCAGCATTAGCTATATCTCCCCTTGTTTAATTATTTAAATAGAAAAATATAACGCCAGTATTGTTTAAAGCCTTCTGGATAAAGCAGACTTCTTAGGATTGTTTGAAAGTTCATAATGTACATACCTTGTTGAAGCAAAGTATGTTTTATTTTTTATTTTTAATTTGGTTTGATTTCTGTAGCTGCCCATCTCAACTGACTTTGGGCAGCATGCATTGTAAAAGCATAAAAACAATTTAAACCAATATAAAATAAATATATATAAATGCAGAGTAAAATTATTGGCATGGATATTAATATAGATAAAAATGGGTCCCTTAACGTTCCGAGGGATCCAGATCTAGGCACAAAAGACCAACGACCTAGGTCATCGCAATTTCTGAGGAAAGAATGTTCCAGATGGCAGGGGCTGTAGCAGAGAAGGCAAGTCTGCTGTCTCTGCCAGCTGACATTTCTTGAAATACCTGTTATAGGCCCAACCTGCCTGATCGAATTGGATGGATAGAAACAACGGGGGGAAGACTCTCCTTTAGGTAACCCAGCCCAAGCCATGAAGGGCTTTAAACCAGCATCTTTTATTCCGGTCGAGTCAGTTTGAATGGAAAATTGTCAAATAATTTTGAGCTATGTTCATCTTAGGAGCCTATAATACTTAACATTTAATTAATTAATTAATTAATTAATTAATTTCTATACCGCCTTTCTCCCGTAGGACTCAAGGCGGTGTACAGTCAAGAAAAATATAGACACACAAACATCATAAAATTGCTAATTAAAATTATTACTTAGTTTGGTCAATTAAATAAAACCCAGAATTAGATAACATTTAAAAATTCATTCACATGTTCATATGTTTAGCCCCGCCTGTTGGAACATCAGGGTCTTGAGGGCACGGCGGAAAGCACGGAGATCAGGGATATTCTGTATCTCCGGGGGCAGTTCATTCCAAAGGGTTGGAGCCATCACAGAGAAGGCCCTCCCCCTGGGAGTCGCCAGTCGGCATAATTTGACTGACGGTACTGAGTAGTCCCTGTGAGAAAGAACTGGTCGGTGGGAGGCTATTGGTGGCAAAAGACGGTCTCGTAGGTACCCAATAACTAATGAAGTGTTTGCATCTCTTCCATAAGTTGGGAAAATTTATGAGCAGCTATTATGCTTCAGATACTACTACCCTAAATCCCTGATCATATTTTGACGGGCGGTTTGCCCTAGTTGATGTTCAGTGACATCTGAATAGTTATTGATCCTTACCTTATGGAATGCTAACTAGAAAGGTTTTTGGGAATTAATATGGTAAAGGCAAAAAAGCTTTGAGTCAAGATTACCTTCTGTGTAAGGTAAGCATTGTGTTCTCAATTTCTGGATCCAGCTAAGGACAAGGGAGTTCAAAAATACATGGTTCTTTGGGTCTTGGTCCTAGAAAATTCTAGTTTTCTTAACATAAGTAAAATAAGTAAAAACACCAAAGGTGCTTTTTCAAGAAGCAACTGAACTTTCTTGTTTTTCTTTGAAGATGTTCCACTTATCCGAAAACAACTTCAGCAATAAGATGTTTTAAAAATAACACGGCATATACATCTATGTATCAGAGAAACAATTCTATTTTTTTTTCACTGCCTCATTCATTTGAAAAATGAGAAAAAGTATGTTTGCAGAATTTTGATTCAGTTTGCAGGACTAGATTACCAAATCTAGTCATGGTATGTTATGCTTTAAATATGAAGCAACAAAGCTACTTTATAGGTTTCTGCCTGCTAAACATTTTGACTCTCCTTGTATTCTGGCACTTGTAACATTCTGAAGGCTGGGATAATCATTTATAGTTGTAAGATTTAGTTGGTACTTCAAGTAACTACAATATAATAGTGAAGTGTTTGAGTCTAAATCAGCCCCCCCTCTCTTTTTAAATGAATCTACCTCCATTCTGAACATTTAAATATGTATTTCCTAAGAAGCTGGTACTATTTTTCTTCTTTAAAATAAAAATTTATAAAAATTGAGTGTTTATCTTTCTGTTCTTTGGATGGGTTGTACATGGTTGATGAGCTTATCTTCAGATCTGGCCATGTTGCCAGCATGCTTCCATTATAAGCTGCCCAGAGTCACCTTGAACCATGAGATTGGCAGCATATGAAATTAATAACTAAAATGCTTCACTAGCCATTCTTAAAAGGCATATTCATGAGGATACATCACCACCATTGCCTCCATTCCATTGCAGACACCTTATGTTTGTCTTGAGCTGGTCTGACATTTTTCATTTGACAATACGGAACAGAACACTTACATAGGCCTTCGCAAATATGTCTCCTTAGTGGGCTGGGTAGAAAACAACGAATCAGGAGCCTCTTCTGGTTTAATTAGAAGACTTACCGGCAACCCGTATATCCTAATGTGATTGCTACAGTTATTTTTCAGGATGGGGTAGGGCTGGTGTTTTTACTATGCTGTGAATTCCACTAAACCTAGTGGAATCCTATTAGTATCTACCAGGCTCCCCTGATACTTTCTTTGTGATTATCTGCACCCACAATGGCAACATGCAAAAACTTCCATAGCAGTCATAAATTGTTCTTCATATTCTAAGAGTGGCTTTGGGGAATAGTTCTGAGATCCAACTGTCGGCAAACGTTTGTGAACCTTTTAGAAATATTTACAATCCTGCAGAGCTATGATCTGTGGTGTGATCAGAGCTTCTTAAGTCTTATTAATAGATGTAAATGCCTTTAATGTGTATCATGTCTTTATTGAATATATTAAGTCAACATTCACTGTCCTTGTAAAAATATATAAGAAACTCTAGGATTAATAACAGGATAAATTGAGATAGCTATTCCAATTTATGGGATGAATTTGAGAAGTCTTCCTCTCAAAAAGCCCAAATATTAATTGCTTCCATTGAACCCTGCATTTTATCATGCAGGTTTGAGGAATGACTTATGCAACTTCTGCAAACCTCTGAAAAAGCGTTGTTGCTGCTCAGGAGTTCCAAGCTAATAGAACAGTGTTCTGTAGACCGAGGCGATAAAATGGGTACTTAATGGAAATAATGAAAAATATGTGGCAAAACTGAAACTGAATTCCAACAAAAGAACCTCATCCCAACCAAGAAGCATGTTTGGAACAGGGGTGGGTTCTACTTACCTTTACTACTGGTTCGCATCGGGCCCACGCGCTCACTTCGCTCACGCGTGCCTGCTTTCTTGTGTGCATGCGCAGATCACCTATGACAACATCTGGGTCAGTGGATGGAGCCTCCTGCCGATTTTTACTACTGGTTCTTGCAGACCGGTCTGAACCGGGGGCAACCCACCACTGGTTTGGAACTGTTTTACAGCCTCAGGACCAAGAAAACTCAAAGCTATTGAGGGAACAATGGCTTCTAGATTGTACCAGCATATTTTACAGCAGGGGTGTCAAACTCGAGTTCATTGAGGGCTGCATCAGGGTTGGGTTTGACCTTGGGGGTGTGGGGGTGGGCTGTGTGTGTGGCCAGGGTGGACGTGGCCAGCTCGACATCACTCGTGTTGCACCTTTGGTGGCCTGAGCTCTGCCAGAGATAATGGGCTCCCGAGCTCCGTTTTAGGCTGCGATGGCCTCTCCCAAGCTCCATTTTCGCTGGTAGAGGCACCATGGGCCGGTCCGTCGCTGTTTCCAGGGCAGCCTGGTGGGCCAGATCTAAACACCCTGAGGGCTGGATCCGGCCTCTGGGCCTTGAGTTTGACACCTTTGTTCTACAGGATAATGTCAGCACTGAAACTCCAGTGAATATAGGTTACGCGGGATGGCATAAACTTGTAGTGTGAAAGGATAGCAATCTCATGCCATCTGCCCCAGAAGTACTCTGAGCCTACTTTTTTGAGGTGTGCTTCCTTGGCATAAAGGCTTGATAATTACTGCTGCCACCATTATTCTCCATAAGAAGATACCACTTAGTGTCTTGTCCCTGAATCCAGCTGTGTTTGAGAGTCAGGGCTCTTAGTGCCTTTGTCACTTTCCAATTTCTTTCATTTCCCCCCCCCCTTTTAGTGTATATCTCTTGGTCATGTAGCTTTGTGGTTTGTGGCTAGGTAAATCAGCTTTTCTTACATCCCCCTTTTGGGCAGTAGACCAATCTCACAAGAAATAGAATCAAATTTTGTTATTTTCTTTTTGAAAAAGGAATGACAAAATGTAAGCACTTTTGTACCTAAAGTATTATGATTAATTTCTTCTGGGTGTCACTTAGATTTCACTCTATGTTAAAAAGCAGCATATAATAAAATTGAAGCTTAGTAGAAAAGCACAGGAGAGGCAGGAGAACCCCTAAAACAGGTGTGAGTATTCAATACTCAATATTCCTCAATGAATGTGGAATATTGGCTGATGTTGGTAGCAGGATGAAAGAAGAAACTGGAATGGAGTGTCCAGGAAAAGAATACAACTGGAACTCTGAGCACTAATTGTGGCAGCTTCCACTTATAGTTTGGTCTGGACACCATTTTTAATGTACATTAAATGAGAACAGCACAGAGAGCAAAAAATTCAAAGAAAATAGGTGTTGGTAGTGTGAACCAAAATATCCCAGGTGATGAAGAGGTAGCCTGAATCCAATATAATATTTTGAAATGTATCTTATTCGAATAGCAATAACAGCAAAAAAAAGAAGATACTGGGCTTACATGATGAATCAAGTTCTTCCTTTTATTATACAGGATTTTATGTACAAATCCCCCTCCCCCCATTTCTTCCATTCTTCAGTCCTGCATTTGTTCATAGCAAAACAAAGTCTAGGAAGCATTTTGAAAATAGCTAGGGACGCCAAAGTGACCAAACTTTGCAGGATAAGCTAATAGAGAAGAGCCAAAAGAATAAAGAAAATAAAAACAATGCTTGCCTGTTTGTAACTTGTATTTTCAACAAAGAAATTGTTGTAAATTACTGTGCTTTGAGAGACGCAATCTTCTGTTAATATGTCCTGAAGAAGAGAAGATCCTTACATCTGGTTGTATATCTTCCAGTAGAAATCCTTAGAAGGGTAGGATCAGCTCCTCTGAATTTGGCCCGTATGAAAATGTGATTCTCACCCTTTCCTGAACAGTAGTTGGAGTCTGAAAGATTGGATTACCCTGCTAAGCAAACAACGCTCCATCTATTTTTGAAGTTGGCAACTAGGAATAAACCATCTTACAGTATTGTACAGAGAAGGGAACCTTGAAGAAGAAAAAAAGATAATGAAGGATAATACAATTTTGTAGTAGGTTTCAGTTTAATAAATCACACATGTTTTGTGTTTCTGAGTATGGGCTGGTTGAAAGTATTTGCATTTTAGAAAAATGGTCAACAGGGAAGAAATATATTTTTCTTCTGCACTTGGGTTTCTTGTAATTAAAAAGAAATCAGGACATACTGTGCTATCTCTCTTCATTTGCCCTTGTTGAGACTCCTAGGACTAGCTTCTGTGAATCTTTGGTATGAAAAAGTGTAAATGATTTTTTGGAACCTTATTGGCGGCATAGCTGGGCCATAAAGTGAATATTTCATTCAAAATTCTTATGAAATGCCTGGGTCAAAAATTCAAACTATGCATACTAGTGACTGTGCTGTATGTCCCAACTTTAGCCAATATTCCTTTCTGCTTTTACAATTATTTGCTTTCTTAATCCTTAGGAAACTGGATGAAGAAGTGTTTTACTCCTGGGAACAAAGGCTGATAACAACCATTTTCATCTTTCTATGTAATATCTCAGATAATAAAAAGTAGATTTCCTAGTGTAACTATGCAGGATAGGAAAGTGCACTGGACCAAGGGGAAAAACCAAATGGATCACTATGAGACAACCTGGCTTAGCAGGCATGATCCGGATTTCCAAATGCAAAACCATAAATCATATATAAGAGCTGTGGTGGCGCAGTGGTTAGAATGCAGTAATGCAGGCTGCTACTGCTGACTGCTGGCTGCTTGCAATTTGGCAGTTTGAATCTCACCAGACTCAAAGTTGACTCAGCCTTCCATCTTTTGAAGTGGGTAAAATAAGGACCCAGATTGTTGGGGGCAATATGCTGACTCTGTAAACCGCTTAGAGAGGGCTGTAAAGCACTGTGAAGCAGTATATAAGTCTAAGTGCTATTGCTATTGTGGAATTGTACTCATTGTACATCATAGTACCTCCTGTCTCAAGAAAGTAGATTTTCTACAGACTGTTTCCTTTCCTACTTCTAGAAAGGAAAGACTCTATTCTGCATCTCGATACAATGTCTATTTCAGCAGTGAATGCTGATTACAAGAACATGTAATCAGAACTTGCACAATTGGTGGCTGACTAAATATTTTTTTGCCCCACTTTATATCAAGAAAGGTTCTAACTTTTTGTGGTTCCCCCTCTTGTTGTTGTTGTTGTGATATGCTAGGCGAAGGAAGGGGGAGAAAAATTAATTGATTTATTATTTCAAATTTATATACTATATTTTCTTTTTTGTATGAAATGTCATGGACAATCATTAATAGGTACAATGAGTAGAGAAGGTTGACAAAAATATGATTATGTAGCCCGATGGCTATCAAGGGGCAGAAAAAAACAACACATCCAGAAGGTAGGGCTAAGTTTCTTTTGCTATCTTTTCTGTAACTTCCCTTCTTCATCCTTTTTTGTTTCTTTTCATGTCAGCATAAAGGCAGCTGAGTTTCAGGACAATATCAGTGGGCTGACAGTATGAAAATGCAGGTAATTTCCCTTACATACCTGATTCATGTTTCAGGCCTTCTGTCATCCACCACCACCAAGTTATGAATAGCATAATACAAAGTAAATGTTTTGTCAAGAAAAAAAAACTTCTCCCAAAAGGAGGAAAGAAAGTGAAACTTAAGCATGTGTTATTAAATCAAAAAAATGAATAATTAAATATTATTTTACACAATTCAATGTGATTTTGCTGTCATGAATGGAATCTGTAAGTTTTAGAATATACCTAATTACTGTAGGCTGGACTCTTCCACATACGTGAAATGGCTATTCTCCTGAAGAAGCAGGAAAGAAAAGAAAAGAGATAAGAAAAGAAAGAGAGAAAGAAAGAATAAAAGCAATCCCAAAAATATATGTTTATACATATCAACTTAAAAGTGAAGTCATTTTAAACTGAAAGAGACATTTCTAAATAGAATTTGTAGGATTCTCCCTTAGATCGATCACTTAAACATCAATAAAGATCAGGAAATGTATCAATGCACAAAGGATAAAAAGGGCATATATTTGCATATTCTTTGGTTTATGAATGCTAACTTATTCTCTGCAAATAAAAGTTTTGCTATAATTTTTCTATTTTGGATAGGAAGAATTACCAGAGTTTGGATAGAAATTCTCTATTGTAATAGGGAAACCAGGCAGCTTCTGTGCCTGTTTATTAATTTTGTATTGATCTGTTTGATCTGTAATTTGGCAGATTTACAGACCCTGCTCTCTTTAACTTCACATCAACCTGAACTAGGTAACCAAGCATTCATTTATTTAAATATTCATAACCTACCTTCTATCAAAAACTAAATTAGAACATTAAGATGGGATAAGAATAATGCTCGTTTTATTTATTTATATTCATAGAAGAATCATAACAGGTCCTGTTCACTTGGCCAATGTATATTCTGTCCCATTTCAAAGATGTGAACATTGAGGTGTAATGAAACATGTGCAGTGTAAAGCTTCTATGCCAGACACATGACCAAATGTTTGAATTTCTTTAAAATATATTTAACAGTTAATCTCCACTTTCAGCTTTAATTTTTAAATATAGTTAAACAAAAGAGGAATATTATCTCAATGTACCAATAGAGCTTCATGTTCCCAAATAAGACCTGCAGATCTGGGGGGAAAATATAAGAGGTGGGAAAATAGAATGATGCTCTATAGTTTGAGCTATGGCAACCTTGGACAACATCTGTAAGAATCTTTTTCTCCATTTTCCTTCTACTGTTGTCCATTAATTTACAGGTAGTCCTTGACTTAAAACCATTCATTTATCAACCATTCGTACTTCTAATGGCATTAAATTATAAATCTCTTATGGCTGGTTTGCACACTTAACGACTGTCATAGCATCCCCATGGTCACGGGATCAAAATTTGAGTAGTTGGCAACCACATTGTATTTGCAATGGAGTCATGTGATCCTGGGGTCACTTGATCATCATTTGCGACTTTCCCAGACAGCTTCCGACAAGCAAAGTCAATGTGGGAATCCGGATTTGCTTAAAACAATTGTGTGATGCCCTTAACAATTGCAGTGATTCATGACAAAAAAAAATAATATGTAAAATCAGATGTGACTCACTTAACCGTTTGCTTAAGAACAGCAATTTTGATCCCAATTGTAGTCATAAGTTGAGGACTACCAGCAACTTTTCTGGGTGCTATTAGCACCACAACTTTGATGAGACAGATATCATGAATAGGGGCCATGTATACAAAGATTTCTATTCCTTCTGGTTTCTCTTGTTGCTGTTCTGCCCCAGCTATGGGTCCCAAGAAGTGTAGCACACACACAGCTCCAAAAACTCCGTTTAATACAAACAGACCCCTTTCAAAATGCAGGCTTTAACCACAAATGTCCTTATCAGTCTGCTATGAATTACAGAGATTAAACAAAGTCCGACAAGGGTTGGCAATCAGCCCAGAAACCAAGTTGTAACAAAAAACTCACTCTCAAAATGCTCTGCGTAGAACCAAACGTTGTTTCCAGCAATGTTTGCTATCTGTGTGCGAACTTAAATAGGCTAAGGGAGTGGCCAATTAACCCCAAGCCTTACTCTCGAGGAGACCTCCTCCTGAGCCTCCTCCTCTCGAGGAGACTCCTGCCTTTTGGCAGCCCTGCGTGCTCGAGCATTGAGAAGAGGCTCCTCCACTTCACTCTCTTCACTTGAAGGAGGTTCTGAAGGCCCTGGCTGAGTCTCTGCCTCTGGCACCACATCCTCTTCAGGCTCCTCACTGTCCGACTCGAGCGCTGGCTGCATAGGCTGCTGGCATGACACCACACCAGCCTCCTTGTCATCGGAATCAGCCACAATCCGCGCAGGCCGCTGGCGGGCCACAACACTTGCCTTATAGCTAGGGGGGCATTGGAAGTATAAGCATCGACTCAACATGGCTTTGACAGGTGGATAGGAATGTCAACTTCTGAAACCAGCTCAAGATATATGTATATCTCCGACGAGTGTGTCATATGATTCTCAATCTTAACCCAAATTTAGAACTGAAGTTTTCTGTCTTCAAAAGATGTCATTGCAGTGGTTAGTTTTTAAAAGAAATTAGTGATTCACTTTTCTCACACCTTCTTCCTTATTAAACAGCTTATTTCCTTTGCATTGTTATGTGTTAAATTTGTTGGGAGGACTATAATTTCATTCCCATCTTTACATTCAGACAATAGCATATCTGAAAGTAAATTCTATGGTATTAGCTAAGCACTGACAGATCACAAAACCTCAGTTCATTGATATCTTTGGAGATTCTCAGTCATCCTGGTCACGGTTATCCCAAAGATCCTTTTTTGCAAAAGGCAACTGGATTTTCTTTGTTTTTCCCTGAAGAACTCTGAAGAAGGTTCTTGGATGAGAAGTGAAACGTCTTCAAGAAAAAAACAAAGAAGGCCCAGCTGCCTTTTGAAAAAGCACCTTTGAGTCAGTTCACTGATGCAAATTTGAAAGATAAAATCTCATTCTTTAGCATCAATAAACACATTAAGTACTTTCTTTCCCCAAATGAACAGGAAAGGATATGATCCGTCTGTAATTCATTATAATGTTAAGAGATAATTTTATGTATTAATGGTACGGGGAAAAATATTAGTTTCCCCTGAAGATTGAGAACTGATATAACTATGTAAATCCAAAGTATATCACCTGGGTGTGAAACCTATGATTTCCTGCTACATCTTACCAATTCATCGTCACAATCATCCTGCACAAGGCCTTCCTCTTCCTCTTCCTCTTCTTCCCCATTTAATGGCTCTTCTGTGTTCACGTCTGCTTCTGATGCTGTGTCTTCCTGAGAAATTTCACTTTTGTTTCCATCTGCCTTTTTTCTAACTTCTGCAAAAAAAAAAAAAAAAAAAAGCCAAATCGTAAAATACCGATGTGATTTGAGAACCCTGTTACATTGGCAGGCTTTATTTGGCTTATCTCAGCATATCTAAATAATCAAGAATCCAAGCTGGAAACTAATTGAATTTCACCAACTGTCCCTGTATGTTGTCACATTGGGAGCATCATGAAAAATTAAAATGGTACCTGGACTCAAATGCTTAGGAACATCTTATCAGGGAAAAAAAAAATGAATGGAATAAATCCTGGAGAAATGTCTGCAAAAGAGTCCTCACAGAGCCTATGATCCTGACATCGCTTCAAGGTTGCCAAGAGAAATATCACTTCATTCTTTCCCTTTTATCATTTAATAGGTGCTTATTGCAAACTATAACCTGAGATTAATATCACGGAGTCCAGGCTTAGAGAAACTCAGTCTCACAAATAATTCTTGGCTTTGTTTATATGACTTGGTTAACGTTATTAAAAAATCTAGTTAGTTTCATTGTGGCTTAATATTTTTGTGAACCCAGGCCATTTGATTAGTTTATGGTTCAGTACATTATGCAAAACCAGAAAAAGGGTTAACTGAAAAAAACAAGTTAACCTTGGTGAATGCAGTCCATGAATTAAAACTGGGGATGGTTTGGAAACAATACAATCAATTGGGCCAGATGAAGAAATGAAAAACACTTAGAATGTTTCTTTCTTTCTTTCTTTCTTTCTTTCTTTCTTTCTTTCTTTCTTTCTTTCTTTCTTTCTTTCTTTCTTTCTTTCTTTCTTTCTTTTTTGTTAAATCTACTACTGCATATAGCAGGGAACAGGCAGAAAAAAATATCAAGGTGGCTTACTGTCATTTAGATATATGAAATAGAGCAAGGATGGAAAGGTTTCCAGATACAACTAGATTGTGGCTCCCTTCATCTGATTAAGATGGATGGAAATTGGAATCCAATCTCTGGAGAACTGCAGCCTATGAATAGGGAAATGGTGTCCAGAGGTTTTGGTCTATGTAATCTGCTGAGCTACAGATTCCTATCAGTATCTCTTATCAGTATCTCCTCCTTTACTAGTACAACTAACTAATGAAAATATATTCTCAAGGACAAAAAATCAGCAGGGGAACCTCAGAATACTTTTAAATTCAGATGGGAAGCCTGATAGTTTTTTTGAAATCACAGGTTTCCAAGGGCTATTTAGTCTTGTTCTGCTATTACGATCTTTATAATATAGATGCCAGTGAAATATGTCCATACTTTAGATTGCCTAGAAACAATCACTTATATTTAATAACACTGATGCAGTTTTACCCAATATGGTGCCTACAGACAGATTGGATTATAACACCATTACTTATCATTCACTTTGGCCCTTGCTGGCTGGAGGTGATAGGTGCTGTAGTTGACAATGGAGAAAAAAAACCTGTACTAGCTCCTAGGAATGGAACAGAGCTGGACTGTAATTGCAAAAAGTACCAAAGGTCCTTTGTCCTGAACAAAGGAAGGTCAGCCAGTACTAGGAACCTGGCACTGACTTTATTCACTTCAACTCCTACTGTGTCTTGGTGTTATTGAGGGACATTTGCAATCAGCCAACTGACCTGTAGGTGCTTTCTGTTGTTCAGCAATCTGCTCCAATCTGCCCAAGAGAGCATCAATGTTGGATTTGATCTGTGTCAGCTCAGTTTTAATTGTCTGCAGTTCACTGCATTTCACTTGGAAGACAAAAGTTAGAAGAAAGCCTTATTCGTTTGTTTGGTACGAATGAGCAATTTGCTTGAGCAGAGATTTAATTATACTTCACATATACCTTTTAGTTGCAGGTCCTGCTTGGCGTCCATCACAATAAGGGCTTATTGGGTTCAGTATAGGACAGGGTCTCGTTTGCCTTTCATAGCTGAGGAGAAGACAGGAGAATTTTGGCAGGTACCATTTCTCCCATCAGAGTGCACCATCAATGGGAACAAACTACCAAAACCTAAATGCTAGTGCACAGCTACTTAAGGGTTTGGAAGCCCTGTGCTATATTGACTCTGGCAAGATGGTGACATTGTAGGTATCAAAGAATTCCTTTATTAATGCTTAGAAAGACCTCCTGCCACATTCTCCCAACTTTGGTGATGTACAAATTTGCAACTCTGAGTCAACAACAAACAAAAGAGGAATCTTTCACCTCATTCCTTGAACTTTGTACAAAAAATTCCCCTTAATTTACAATTTACATAACTACTTAGAAGTTGATAAAATGATCCTTACAGATAAACAAACACATGAATAGGCCAATGTAGCTACTCCTTTATTTAGGATTCTCCATTACATTATTTCCTTATTTTTGTGCCATCCTGTCAAGTGGATTCTGAGCTGTTGAGCAGATGCAGACTGTTTTAAACTCCACCCCCCCTCTTTTTGCCCTCTTGGACTCTTTTTAACTAACATATTTCTTTTTTGCAAAACTGTATTTCCTGAGCCCACTGCTATTTCCTTCTTGTGTCCAGATCATAGGCGAGTTTCAAAACCCGTTGCTACCGGTTCGTTCACTCACGCATGACGTTTCTGTGCAGAAGCATCCGGGTGGGTGGGCGGAGCCTCCTGCTGCTGCCACTAATGGTTCGCCCGATCCCGGGCGAATCGGTAGCAACCCACCACTGGTCCCGATCAGCTATTTGGGGCATATGCCTGCATAAGTTACCTCTTGCTGTAAGGTGAATGACTCCCTCAGATTGCATCCAGTCTGACAGGGGACAGGGTTCTGGGTAAGATTAGTGCTGCCACGTGTTTATTGGACCCGTGTCCCTCCTGGTTGGTACTGGCCTCCCGGGAGGTTACACGAGGCTGGCTCCAGGGGATTATAAATGCTTCTCTGAGTGAGGGTGCCTTTCCCGCCGCCTTGAAAGAGGCGGTGGTGAGGCCCCTCCTCAAGAAGCCTTCCCTGGACCTGGCTGAATTAGCTAACTACCATCTGGTCTCCAACCTTCGTTTTGTGGTGAAGGTTGTTGAGAGTGTGGTGGCACGACAGCTTCCCCGGCACCTGGATGAAGTCGGGCTTCAGGCAGGGGTACAGCACAGAAACGGCATTGGTCGTGTTGGTGGATGATCTCTGGAGGGCTCGGGACTGGGGTTGCTCCTCTGTCCTGGTCCTATTAGATCTCTCAGCAGCTTTTGATACCATCGACCATGGTATCATGCTGCAACAGTTGAGGGGGTTAGGAATAGGGGGCACTGTCCTGCGGTGGTTCTCCTCCTTTCTCTCCGACCGTTCACAGTTTGTGTTGGCAGGGGGGCAGAGGTCGACCTCGAGGCGCCTCGCATGGGGAGTGCCGCAAGGGTCAGTCCTCTCGCCCCTTCTGTTCAACATTTATGTGAAGTCGCTGGGTGAGATCATCCGTGGTTTTGGGGTGATGATACTCAGCTGTACATCTCCACCCCAGACCACCCCAACGATGCCCTTGATGTGATGTCTTGCTGCCTGGAGGCTGTGCGGGTCTGGATGGGGAGAAATAGGCTCAGACTCAACCCTTCCAAGACCGAGTGGCTGTGGCTTTTGGCGTCCTGATATAGTCAGCTGGTGCCATCGCTGACTATTGGGGGTGAATCTCTGCCCCCCATAGAGAGGGCTCGCAATCTGGGTGTCCTCCTGGACACACGGCTGTCTTTAAAAAAGCATATGACGGCCGTGGCCAGGGGGGCTTTTTATCAGGTTCACCTGATTTGCCAGTTGCAGCCCTTTCTGGACCGGGACACCTTGCGCACGGTCACTCATGCCCTTGTCACCTCCTGGCTGGACTACTGTAATGCTCTCTACATGGGGCTCCTCTTGAAGTGCACTCGGAGACTCCAACTGGTTCAGAATGCGGCCGCGTAGGTGGTTATGCCCACGTGACACCCCTCCTGCGCGAGCTGCACTGGCTCCCAGTGGTCTTCCGGATGCGATTCAAGGTGTTGGTCACCACCTTTAAAGCGCTCCATGGCATAGGACCCAGGTACCTTTGAGACCGACTTCTGCCGCCAATAGCCTCCCACCAGCCAGTCCGCTCCCACAGAGAGGGTCTCCTCAGGGTGCCATCGGCCAAGTTATGTCGGCTGGCGACACCCAGAGGGAGGGCCTTCTCTGTGGGATGAACTTCCCCTGCCCTGTGGAATGAACTGCCTCCGGAAATGCATAAGATCTCCGACCTCCGTGTATTTTGCTGTGCCCTCAAGATCCTGCTGTTCCACCAGGCCGGGCTATCAATGTAATGATTTTAAATTGGGTGTTTTAAATTTTTGGGGTTTTAAATCTGAGCTGAAATTATTTAATAATTTTAATTATTTTTAATTGATGTTTGTCTTTGTGCTTTTAATAGGCTGTACACCGCCCTGAGTCCTTCAGGAGAAGGGCAGAATAGAAATTTTTTTTTATTTATTTATTAAATATTTATTTATTTATTTACTTCCCAGCCTTCCTATAACTTTCACTCAGTCTTCCATGTTGGCAAAGCTGAGTATACTGATTTCACTGGAATGTTTTACTTTCTTAGGAAAGGAATATTTTCCTATTTTTATTTCCAAAAAATCTGGTGCATGAATGATGCATTACAGGTCAAAAGAAGTTCATTAGATGAAGGATTAGTTCAATATTAGAACAGAGATGATAATTTGAGCATCACCTTTTTTTTGTAAAAAGCTCAGCCAAGGGCATGTATTCTTTCCTCCAGCCATTTAGTCTTTTATTATTCAGTGACAGTTTGAATTCAGATGTTTCTGGCTGTAGTTACCAAACAATTATATCTCATTGGCAGCCAGTTTTTGTGGTAAAAAGCACTGACAGAACATTAGCTAAACTGTCTTGCTAAGGAGACCAAGCTGGCTCATTCTATTGTGTGTTTCAAATATTTTATCTTTCACCAAGTACTTGGCTTGATGTATTTTTTCCCTTTCTTCCGTGATGAGTATGTTTATTTTTAATGCTCCATTTATTTCTTATTGTCACTGTTTATAATATATTTTGATTGTATTTTTACAACTATTCCCCTGAGGGCAGAAAAGTATGATATTAACAAATTTAAAAAATCAACCATTCTCCTCTTTATATAGATTCATTTTAATTCACAGGCACGGAGAGGTCATTATCAGCTTGTTCTACCCTTGCCTATCCTGATCAACTAACCAGGTTGCCACAGACTCCATGGTTAGGGGAGATAATGTATACCTCATTGAGTATGAAAAGTATTCCAACCTGCTTAAAGAAACAGTTCTAAGATCTTTTACTAAAAATAAAGCCTTTCCTTGACCTGAAAGGTCTCTTAATTATGAGCCATTCTCAAATCTTCCATTCATAGATAAGGTGATTAAGAAAGTGCTGCCCTCACAGCTTCAAATGCCTTTGGTTGAAGCTTATTATTTGGACCCATTTCAGTTGGGTCTTTGTCTGGAAGATGGTACTAAAAATATTTTAGTCATGTAGTTAATTTTTTGTCATGGACAACCAGAAAGTTAATCAACCTAATTCTACCACTACTTACTATCTGACTCCCAGGAACATTGCTCAGTTTTGGTAATGTTTTAAATCGGTGTTTCACAGCCCTGGCAGTTTTAAGATGTCTTGACTTTAACATCCTGACTTGGGAGTTCTGGAAGTTGATGTCCACATTTTTCAAAGTTGCCAAAGTTGAAAAATACTAGCATAAGTGGGCATTTCCACCTTTGCAGTTCTAACAAAAAGACTGCTTCTCCTACTACAGTATGAACCTACCTAGTTAGATAAATTAGCAGGTGAGGCCCTTTTGAAGATGTCCTGTAATGGCTTGTGAGAATAACCTTGAGGAACAGCAGGAAGCCACAACCCAGGCAACAATCACATAAAGAGAAACCCAAGTTCAAAGTCCAAAGCAGGATCTTCTGCTTCTCTAGAAAGAGAGCATTAAGAGTTGCATGATTGATACCAGCCTTTTGAGTTAGACCAGACTTGAAAGCTATAGTCATGAATACTAAAACTACTTTTATTACAGGATTACAGAAACAGAATCTTGCAACTCTGAGTGTGCCTTTCCACTCCCTATGTTTACCAGAAGGAGAACTAGGGAAGGTCAAGTCAGATATTTTCTCAAATTCCATTCCTGCTTTATACTCAGATTTTATCTTATCTGACATTGCCTTCACTGTGGCTGTTCCTCCTCTTTGTCAAGTTTATTCTTACAGCTCATTACAGAAACTTAGCTATATGGTTCACAGGAGATCCTTATCTGTGGTTCCCAAATGGTGGAAAACTCTTTCCAGGGAGAATGTGTTCGCCTGCACCTTCCTAAGGTTTAGGAAACTGGCAACAATGCATTTTCTACCAAGCTTTGAAGTAATAATTGATTTAATGATTCCAATTTTAATTCTGATTTTAATTGTATTGCTTGTACTGTCATATTTGTGTCTTATTGTTACCCTGCGGGAAGATGGGCGGCCAATAAATTTAATAAATAAAAAAATTGTTGTAAGCAGCCTAAGTCAAGGTAATCATTGACTTAGGACCATAATAGAGACACACCCCCCCCATTATGGTTGTAAGTCATGATGGTTGTAAAACCGATTTCACAACCTTTTTGGCAGTGGTTAAGTGAATGCAGTGTTCATAAACTAGCTGCTGCACTCATTAAGTAAACCAATGGTTCTAGTACAAGTGCATTTTGCCGGAAATGGAAGTAAATGGGTTTTTGGGCAAAACTGTCATAAAACATGGTCATGTAATGGTGGAAAGCTGTAAATATTCATAAATATGTCCTTGTTGAGTGCCCAAAATTCAATGACTGGGATGGGTGTGTGAACATCAGAACTTTGAAACTGGGTCATAAGTGGCTCCAAGATAAGGTCCATCATAACTTCAAATGTCTACCTGTATATAAGAAGCAGCTACTGCAATAAATTCGAGAATCAAATCAAATCAATGTTTTGCAATACATAAAACACAATTATGTTTGCAATGTATGTCTGCCCTTGTGCGTTTTGTTTCAAAGGCAAGTCTGAAACCATTATAAACATTACCTCTGCACAAGGATCATGAAACTTACATTTTAATTTGGCGGAGCTGTTCACAAGAGCAGCAGATCTGGCAAAGAGCTTGACCGGGATAGTTGCTTTGACACGTCGTACTAAAGGGATGGTGACTCGTGGCCGCTTCACGGGAACCATCCTGGGTATGGGAGAGACTCTTCCTCGATACTCAAAGAGTCTATACAGAAGCAGAAGAAATGCTTTCCTATAGCGATTCCAGCCAGATACATTTAGCAAATACGGTATTTCTGATCAAGAGTTGAAAACCATTGATGCCCTCTAGAGGGAGCTAAGACTTCATCCATTCCAGCCATCTGTTCTTGCCTGGGCAATAAAGCCCATCAGAGATTACAGTTGATCATTAAACTACTGAGGAGATGCATTGTTCAACCATTATCCTGCAAGTTAATGCTGACAACTCTCAGAGAAGTTATTTAATAGGTTGCTTTAACAGCAATATTGTTACCATTAATTCATTTTTAAAAATACTTCAGTGTTTCATATTTGAGAATTCCTTAGGCAAATCTCCAGGATATTAAAACAGATCATCCAAGGCAATTATTCTGCTGTCCTATCTTAGCATCTTCCCCCCCATCCCCCCACTTGGTGCCTACTCATTCCTTAAAACAGGACACAAAACTTTTTCCTAAGATGCAGCCAATAATCTTTATATTAATTTACATTCAGGCAGGAAAAAAAACACAATTGCTTAAGCAATTGAGTCTGGATCCATCTCAGCCCTAATTACCAAGGTCTTTTAACAGAGCTAAAGAGGTTGAGGTGATGAGAAGTGAAAGACCTATTGAAAAACATGTCTCACTTTGGTAGAGAGCAAACACCTGAAAGCCAACTGTAATAAAAATATATAGATCTGGACTTTGAAGCTGAACTTTAAATGCACCAAGTGCTCTTCTCAGATTCAACAGAGATTGATTTAGTAACCTCAGGGGGATTTTGTGGTTCCACCTTTATGCTCCATCTGCTACTAGTTCAAAAGTTTGCTTTTTGTTCACGTAAAAAAAAAACAACCCTCCATTTTAAAAAGTTAAAATAAAGTTCTTTTTATATACCTCATGGCTGCTTAAACCCCTTTTTTACTGCTGCCAACTAGGCACTTCTACTTTAATTTAAAAATGACAACAACAACAAATGTTAATCTTTTGGAAACAAACTGTATCGTACAAATGCTCAGATATCTTGGTTTTTCTTAGAAATGGAAAGGAAGAAACAAGACAGCCTCTGGGATTATTCAGCTGAACTCAATTTTCTAGACAACAAGAAAACTGTCTGTATTGCTACCTACAAAGGGTGATGCAAGAGACTCCAATGGACACTGAGCATGTTTGATGCTTTTAGAATGGGGCTATTGAGTGGCTAGTCAAGTGACAGTGGTAAAATGACAAGCCTGCTATATCTGGGCTGCAAAACAGACATCTCTGTCATGACAGCAAAAAGATTTTTTTGGTAACCCTTCTAGGGTTTTGCCGCTCCAATAATCTCAATCATGAAGTCCTCTGACAGATAGCATAGTTGGCTGGAACCCTGTGGAGGAGGTCTCCTACAGCATTTCTTACAGGGCAGGTTGTTTTTGGGAAATGCAAACAACCAATGGAAAGTAAATGAAAAAGTCAAGGATTCCTCATGGATATCCATAGAATGCTAGCATCGCAGAGGAGCAGTCCCCTTAACAGAAAAACTGTAAGGTATTTCTTTAATACCATAGCTGTACATAGTGAAGAAATTCAAGGCATGTGTTTTGATCATTTCATTTCAATCTTTGGATAAGAACCCATCTGGAAGGTCTGTCTGGTAATTTGTTAGAGGAATGGAATCCTTACCATGAAAACACACAAAGGGCCATTATATTTCTATCACAGATTCTAAACCAAGAGTTACTAAAGTTTATTATAACCATGCTGTTATCTTGTCAAACTGGAAAAAATGTTTGGAGGTGCCCTGTCCTGGCATAGAAATAAGCCAAAATACCCAAAAAATATGTGTGTGTTATGTCTCACTAATTTAACTTTCTCTAACAGTTACATTTTTATATTGTATAACTTAATTTTATTTTGACAAAATTGTATCAAAATTGTATAAATTTGCAATTAGTATTTTAACATACCAGAACCCTACATTAATTAATAAGATCAAGGATATCTTGTAATGGGACTGTAAGTAAACCATATTAAACTCACTGGAACTTACTTCTGCATAGGGTGCTTTAAAGCTTTATTTTTAAAAATGTAGGTTTTGAAGTTTATATTTTCACTTTTAGTTTTCAACAATTACAGGTAGTTCTCAGCCTACAACTATAATAGAGCCTCCAATCATGGTTTGTAAGTCTCAATGGTTGTAATCACCATTGTGATTGACTCAATTTTATACCTTTCTTGCAGCAATCGTCAAACGATAACTATGACATTAAGCGAAACAATGGTTTGCTATTTTTATTTATTTGCATCTCCCCTTTATTATTTTTACAAAAAAGGTGGCGAATGTATCCAACATACCTTCCATATTTTCCCCACAATAACAATCCCTGGCCCACCTTCTAGTCTGGTGCCTTAACCACTAGAGTAGATCAAACTGGCTATAGGACAGTTTTGCCAAAACCCGGAAGTAAATGCCAGTTTTCATAAGATACAGTCACGTGACTGTGGGATGCTGCAACTGGCCATAAATGTGGGATAGTTGCCAAGCACCCAACATGCAATCATATGACTGCAGGGTGGGTGGAGGTGGGCTCCAGTTGTCAGAACTTTGGAACCAGGTCATTAAATATTCCCAGGGAGGCATGTTGTAACTTCAAATGTCAGTAAGCGACTGGTCATAAGTCAAGGACTACCTGTATCCAAGTTTTCAGTCGTTTAATCTTTACATCCATAGAACCAAGAGCAACATATTTAGAAAAGTGAAGCAGCCATTCAAATAAAACCATGGCAGGGTAGAAGATATAAGCAATCTAAATTTGCTTTGCACAAGCATTATGAAAGTGTTCCCTTATGTTCACTCTATTTAAAATAAACGTAAAAAGCAATCAATGTGACAGCACCATTCTTCTTTTATTTGCTCACCTGTCATAGAAGTCATCTCTGTAGTAATCATAGTCAAAGTCATAGCCACTGCTTTCAACAAAAAACAAAAAAGAACAGGATTAGTACTATGCTTCACCAATTATTTTTTTTGAGGCAACATCTGTGAAGTAGCAGAATTCAGTCTCATAGATCTGGAAGGAAACCAGGAGTTCTGGATAATATATATTCAGAGAAGTAAAACTATATCACAAAGAACTCAGATTTACTGTTATTTTTGTTTTAGGACACAACAAGGCATTTGGCAGCATCTGCAGAAAATCATGTAATAAAAAACAAACAAACAATGGATTTTCATTATGACACAGGTTCTTATTGATGTTACAATGATATGCAGAATCTCAACTGGCAAGACTTCATCTGGCTCACATACAATAAAAACATACAAATTGTACAAATATATACAATCTGCACATTTTTCACTCTGTGTGATAGGTGAACCAAGCTCATAATACTTATTCACGATCCATGGATTTATGTGTGAACCGAATTATTGTTTGGTTACTAAAAGATAAATGGGTAGCAGATGGGAATTCTGATCTAGCCAAAAAAATGGTAGATTGGGATATCACAGATTCTTTCTTAAAATTGTATCCAATTAGATTGACCTAGACTCAAAAGAGCTACAAAAGCATTAAATTAGACAATAGATGTTTATATCTCCCTATAAGTGTTACAAAGGCAAATACACACATGTTGAACCTCCAACTATCGAAAGAAGCTATGTTTGACAAGGTAGCATAGAGAGCACTTGCCTATATAGTTGTCAAGAGTCCAACACCACTAAATGATTAAAACAATAAGAGTGGGGAAGATGTGGAGCAGAGCTTCCAAAACACAACTCCCACACCTATTTCAAGGTTGCTGCTTTATAGCCAATGCTACCCTGCTGAGGCTGTAGAAAGCCTTAGAGGGGAGGCAGGCAGCACAGGTGCCTGAAATTTTTCTAAGCAGCTTGCTCTTCCACCGTTGTGTGTTTGTATATTTTAGCAATAGCACCTGTCAAGAATTGGTTCAGATGCTACAACTACTGTGTCAGTGCCAGTGGGTGACTTAATAGCCCACCATTTCTTTTTCACTTCCAAGAGGGGTATTTTATACACAGTAATGAAAGTATATTATTGCAACTCTTCCTAGAAGAAAACTTTAAACAGAAATCCAGCTGGCAAATCATAGAAATTGAAAGCTCTGACATTTCCTAGTAAAAAGAAGTGTAGTTAGCAACACATTTGTTGGAAAGGTCAGCTTAAAAGTGAAAATTTTAATTTTGGCTTGACACCGTTGACTTGGTGACATGAACATGACATTTCAAGACAATAAAGCCCAAGAGAGATTTAAAGCTCAGTATCTCCATCAAAGGAAACACTCTATAGTTGATGAGTGCAGAGAGTCTCCTGTATAAGGCTGGGCTGAATGAAGGAGGACTCAGTTGGTGACTTCAGTGCATAGGGTTTACATGTTTTTCCATTATAATGTGGTTTGTTTGGTTTTGGCTTTGGGTATTGAGCAAATTCAGTCAACTGTTATTTCTCCTATAAAACATAGGTAAACTGGGCTTAGTGTGCATAAACCCAACAAATAACTTGTTGGGTGGCTATTACAATAAAATAGAATAGTCTCACAATTTATTTTATGTACACTGAGAGCATATGCACCAAGACAAATTCCTTGTGTGTCCAATCACACTTGGCCAATAAAGAATTCTATTCTATTCTATCCGGACCTTCTCAGATGGAAGAAATAATAATATATTATTGGTAGATAGACATAATTGCCCGTAAATTCTATTTCAATCGATCCTAGCAACAAATTTTTGGGATCTGCAAATGGCTTGAGTCTTCAGATGAAATTCCTATTTATACCACCTTTTCATTTATTTTTTCAATCAAGAGCTTTGAAGAAGGATGTTGATTTTATTCTGAATATATCAGAATATTGTACAATTTTGTTTTGTTCTTTCCAGTTCAGTATTGACTGCACTGAACTGCAGGAGTTCTAACATTTCAGATAGGTATTGAATTAGAGGCCACCCTACGTTCTATGTGGTTTCTGCACAGATTATTTACAGTAGTCCAAAATTGTGGAAACCTTTTGGGAAAAGTGTATTTCTAGCAGTTTTTAGCAAGTGTATAAATAGCATTACTTTTTTGGGGAGTAATATCATAAAATTATATATCAATGGAAAGATAATTTAATCAAGAATGTAATGTAACAAAGTTTGCTCAATTATCTGTATTCTATGAAAAGTTATAGCCAAATAACTAGAAAAAGGAAGCACAACTTGCTTAGGTTGATATCAGGTAGCTTTCCTTCATCTGATTGTAGCCAATGAGCATGAGTGTTTAGAGAGCCAGTCAGGTGTCATCTTGTTTTGGCAATGAGCCAATCAGATCACAGTAGGATTCAGTTATTGATGTCATGTATTGAAACTGAGAGGAGGACATTTGTCAGTGTGTTATGTGATTGCTATCAAGTTGGTTAGGCTTTTTTTGTGTTCTTTCATTTAGTGAGCTTGTAAAATGTAATAAAATTAAAGAATTGACTGGTCACCCAGAAAGCGATGTCAAATAGTATTATTAAGTGAATAAGGCTACAGTTATAAAGAAATTAGAAGAAAAATTCAACCAAAGACTTGGAATTTGTTTAAAGACTATGAGACTGTTTTTCTACTATAAAGTAAGTTTTTGATAAACCAGTTTGCATATCTCTTATTCATTGCTCTCAGCAATGTTTCCTTGTGCATTTACTCTGCTGGTTGGTAAAACAACAACAATATCCTTAACACCTAGGATCGAGGCCTTCCTTTACAATAACTGCCACTCCCCCACCCCTACCCTGGGCCCTCGGCTGATGAAATGCGCGGAAACCCGGTGGGCACATCTCAATGAGGGGGACCCCCCCTCCTGGCCCAACCAGGTCTCTGTAATACCCGCCAGGTCCGCTTCCCCCTCCTGAATCAGCTCACAGATGAGGGGGCTTTGTTAACCACGGACCTGGCATTGCATAGCATCAGCCTAAGACCGGGGCTCTGAGACTCTGAACAACCCAGGGAACGAGGTGAGCATTGGGGGCCGGAGCACGTCACTGCTTGGAGACAGCGGGCACGTGCCCCCACAACACGATGTGGCCCCCTGCTCCCACCATATCTGCCCCTCCCACCGACAGTCCTGCTTTGCTTGTTTGCTATTCTTACGTTGCTTGTTTGCTATTCTTAGTGTTCAAATTTCTTTCCAGACAAGTCAGATGAGATTTTATCATTGTTATAATAAAGACAATCATGCCCCAAAATATCCTGTATTATATTTCCAGGGACTGCTATGCCATATTTGTTCAGCTGTTCTTTCTCCATGCTATTAGTTTATTTTAAGGCCTTGTGCAACTTTGCACGTAAACTTCAACATAGCCTCAAAATCTTCTTTCCAAGTAAAACTCCCCTTCCAAGTGTTATTTCAGGGCAGTCATCTAGCTTTTACCTGGATGTTCAAAAGAGACTCTATATGAATGTTGCACATGCCAGGGCAAAATTCAAGGCAGAAAAATAAACAAACAATTTTGTTCATTTTTTAAAAATTTTGATTTATATGACGCCCTTCTCTGGAGACTCAGGGCGGCTTACAATGTGTTAAGCAATAGCCTTCATACTTTTGTATATTTATACAAAGTCAGTTTATTGCCCCCACAATCTGGGTCCTCATTTTACCTACCTTAGAAAGGATGGAAGGCTGAGTCAATCTTGAGCCTGGTGAGATTTGAACTTGCAGTAATTGCAGGCAGCTGATGTTAATAACAATGCTTTAGTCTGCTGCGTCACCAGGGCTCTTATAGGTTGAATCAGATTATTTTAACACTGTGTTCTGACCTAGGCTCCCTTAACAAGCAGGAAGCAGGAATTGGTCCTGGCAAAACCTCTTTTCTTTACCTGACTTTGAATTACATTCATTCACAGTCAGCAAGGTTTGTCCAAACAGTTTTTCAAAGGAATATTTCTCAACACACCTTATCTTGTTTGGCAAGCTGCCACGTACTTGTTTACAACTGCAGTACAAAGCAAAACTTGGCACAGAGTCTCTCAGAGTCACGGAACGAATGAATTGTTTCCTGCAAAAGCCCACTCCATGTTTGCTCCTCTTTTATTTCCTATGGGAGGGACCAATCACCTTCAAGGTGTGGCTTTACTCCCAAGTCGACCCTGCTTTCTGAGTTGTTCTTCTCTTCTGGCAGCTCCACGCATGCGCGCACTGGGAATGGGCTCCAGCTTTTCTCTGCCTTGCTGCTGTCTAACTCCCTCTCTGCCTCTGACGCAGAGCCCTCGTCTGAGCTTTCCCTGGCCCCCAAGTTTCTCCCCAATCCCCTCACTGTCCGACTCTGCTATCAGCTCTGCTGGCCGCTGGTGGACCACAACACAATGTGGACTAAGATAATGTCTCAAGGGAGAATAGAGTACTTTACACAGCCCAATTTACCTACCGTCTATTTACCTCAGTCCATCTGTAGGGCTACAGGTCCCTCCCATCTAGGCTAGCAAGCCTTGCATTCCTTTCCAAAGTTAAGGTCCACTTTTAGAAGCTGCCACCCTACTGAGTCTATAACCAAGAGGTTATTACTAAAGGAAAGAAAGTCTAAGTCTTGAGCTAGCCACAAATAATTGCTGCTATTTATTCTTTAATTCTTCATTAGTTGAAATGATTAAGAAATAACCCTTTTTTTCATCTGAGCTCTGAATAAGATTCCTGGCTAACTGCTGACCTCTTTGATGCTGATGCTTGTGGGGAGGGAACATTTCCTTTCTTGCTAACTACCATTTGACAAATGAGATAGAATAATGCTTGCTTTCTTTTTTTTGCTGACAGAGTTCCTCTTAGCTATATTCCTATAATTGCTTTCTGGTTACTCCTACTCTGAGACTGTATCAAAAAGTGAAGCAGGGGTATCAGAGAAATCGATTTCCTTCCAGAGCCTCACAGAATGACATGACAAATAGAACAAGTGCAGCTCCTTGAAACAAGGTTGGTCAATTTGCTGGCACTCAAAGGACTGGGAATAGCCTAACAGCTTCATCTGTTATCCTCACCCAATGGTCTAATACTTCAGAGAATTTCCATATAAGTCTTATGAATTTCCAGTCCATGAGATCTTGAATATGTCAGATAAGAGACTGGGGCAAATCAGTGTGGTCAAAATATCCCTAAGAATCAGTGGTGGATTGCCCCCGATTTGCACCGGTTCTAAGGAACCGCTAGTAAAATTGGTGGGAGGCTCCGCCCACTGACCCCAACATCATCAGAATGCTTCTGCGCATGCACAGAAGCTTCTGCACATGTGCAGAAGAGTGCACATGTGTCCCTGTTGCGAACCGGTAGTAAAGGTAAGTAGAACCCACCCCTGCTAAGAATAACAGCCTTGTTCTGTGGTTTGTGCCTCACTGGCTGGATTTATACAACATACCAGATGAGCTAAAATGGGTTGGATACTTTGACCTTAAAGAGGTTGGCAGGAAGGATGTATACATAAAGGTATTGATGCTAAGAGTCAACACCAGTTTGATGGCACATAATTAGTATTGTGGGGAAGAGCTGCAGGATTTTTGAGCCAGCCCAACATTTTTAGCTATACAGTAATTTGATTGATATATTCGGATACAACTTGTTAAGCAAACTTTGAAATCAAGTTGTGTTAGCCTGGGCTTAGTGTTTTGTGTAGTATGAAAATCCAGCCAAAGTGTATAAGCGACAGAGGAAAAGAATGGGAAATGAATGATGGAAAAATGGAGTCTGAGTGTGCATTTATTTAGAACACAGAGAGAAATGGTGAATAGAAGAGAGAATGGATGTATGATGCTGCCTGAATGGGGAAGGGAAGGGAGGAGAAAGACAGGGAAGATTTACTTGCTGTTACTGGTATAGCCAACCTGCTGGCAGCTGGTGATCAGCAGAAGTAGCCTGAAGTGCTGCATTCTAACCCCTGCACCACCTCAGTATAATCTAACTCTTATTACCTATTGAGACAGGAGTGATCATCATGTAGCCTTAGAGCTGCATGCCACCTTTAGGCTAATGCTCTGTGACATCAGATTAATTGCAAAGCCCCTATGTGGGAAATCAGATCAGAACTCTAATAAGAGCTACTTCACTCTTCTGTGGCAGCCTGCTACTTAGAAGAGCTGGAGAAGGAGAAGAAGAGATGTCTGAGAAACAATCAGTGTCCTACCCACTGTCCTCTGTTTTTCTTAGGTGCTGTTTCTTAGCTGGATGTCCCATAATGGCTGCCAAGATCTCCTGGGAGAAATGCAATCCTCAATCTTGAGAAGATTGAATATCATTTGTTAGCTGAATTACTCTTCTAGGAATGCAAATAAATATTTTGGACCTTACTTCCAAAATAGTATACTTAGAACTGGGGTACTAACTTACTAACTCTAACTAGAGATAGAGAAATCAAATCTTGTGTATATCCTCAACTATAAATGTTTTTCTCACTGGTTTGCAATTAAAAAAAAAAAGTCCGCAAGAACATTTCCATTTCAACATGGATGCAAAGGCATAATTGAGAATATATTTCTCTCTAAAGATAGCCATTATCCCTCACATCCCATTTATTATTCCAAAGTATTTTGATTGGGTTTTTTCAGCTTTCTTTCATCCAGGTTCATTCTAGCCTAACCATGCTGTGCCTAGTTTGAAGTTACTCCATTTGGCTAGATATGACATTGCCAGTTGCAGATATTTGATTAGAATCCAACATAAGATCTTTCAGCATAGATTGTTTGACCAGGTCTTGGATTTATCAAAGGGCTGAGTCAAAGTTTCCTATATTGTTCCATAAAATCCACTAGTACAATCAATTTATATTTACTGTTATATCACTCTTAATCAAAGATGACATAAAACTTAATGCAATTAGTAAAATTACAATTGTTAGTCTGTTAGACAACTAGAGAAATTAAAAACCTTTCAGTTTGCCAAAAGGGTGCCTCTGATTACCTGGTTGGCCAATTTTTAAGCAAAATGTTTGATTATATGTAATGCAAGGACATCCAATAATTACAGGAAGCAGATAGAGGTTGTAAGAGAACTACCTCCTATAATCATGCTGTTCTAACATCAAGCTAGCATCCTCTCTGAGGAAATAATGTAAACAGATTTCTTCAAAATGATTATTTTAGGGATAGGCAAATGTTCAAAATGCAATGCTCCATCAGCACAGATGACTTTAATCGACCCATGAGTCTTAAAACAATGGCTATGGTCATCACTTTAATGCAGCAGGAACAAGAATGGATTTGATCAGAAAAAAATCCCCCTTTTCTATTCATCTAGAATCCCAGAATTCAAAATATCAAAGAATTCTGAATTATCCATGCAAATCACCTGGAATATTACCTGTTCCATGTAACACGTTACGTAAGACCTATATTGTCCTTTACTCTAAAATTTCAGTAGGGCACGGTAGAGTTAAATTAAATCACAAAACAAATAGGGATCAGAGCAATTATGTACGATGTGCCCACAGCAAAATAAATATCTTAACAGTAGCACTTGATGCCATTAAACATTTCATCCTGTTGCTATGGCTATAGCAAGTGTGTTGTGCTGATATGTTCATGAGATCTGCTAAAAAGTAAGTAAAACCTATACTTGTGTAAGTGTCCCAATTTGCCATATTATTTGTTATTACACATGATTACATTTTATTCAGCTTCTAGTAATGGAAGTGTTTGATGTGTCTGTCTAGCTGGGTGAAGGGAACATAACAAGAATGAAGCCAAACATCCTCCTGGGCTGAGGAAAAAGCCCAAGGATGATAAAAACAAGGCAGAACATGCCTTCCCTTTAATCTTCAGAACTTTTTCCTTTTGTAGAACTACCTCGAGGAGCAACTAATATTTATCTGAAGTAATAAATATGATGAAAGAGCAAAATGGAAAAAAATATTGACAAGACTGCTGTTTAGTAACAGTGATGGGCAAAGAATGAAAACCTCAGTAAATGTTTTTACATGTACTGTGATGTAGCTAGAATTAGGTTGAAGATAATTTAGTTTTTTATTTGGCTATCATTATGCAAAAACCACAATTGGGCAGAACCCAGCCTAAAATCTGCTCCTTAGTTTATACCAATCTGTACTATTGTCATCACAATTACGTTAACAAATAATTCTCTACTCTGTAATGGATGCCAAAAACAGGGTATGTAAATATCTGTATACTGCTTTTTCTATATCAGTTAAACTTCAAGTCTCAGAATTTCCAGCTAGCTTGACATTTGCTCTAGTATTTTGAGGACATCAGATAGGAAAAGTTGTGGTGGAAAGACAAGATGATCCAGTCATTTAATCTAACGTTTTGACATCCTTTCTTGTGTTTACCATTAGCAGGTCTTCTTTGCCATTAACTATCCATCACTCTTATTCCCTTCCATGGCTTATTGCTTCCATGCATTATATTTCACTTGTAATGTTACATACCTGGAGAGAACAAGAATTGGCTGACTTATCTATTTACATGCTTCTCTACTGCTCTTGTCTTATGATCCAGATCAGCTTCCTGAAGCCTCAGATTTCTGCCTGTCACTTTTCAATGATGCTAAGTTTTGTTGCTTCTTTTTTAAGGTCTCTGCTAAATTCTACCCCTCAGCTGATTTCTCATTTTGCTTGCTGCCGATGATTGTGTCATCTTCCATAATGTTCAATCTATTTCTGGATAAACAATCTATTCCAATCTCTTTTCTGCCATCACCATCTCTAATATCTGTCTCAACACTTTCCACTTCCTTCTACTATTTATCTATTTCTTGATAAATTTAGTATTCTATGACCGTCATGTTACTCTTCCAATTGCATTGATAGCATCATCCTTCTGTCCTACTCTATTCAAATCTGACACTAATTGCCCCTTCTGTTGTCAGAAAGTCCTACTTTTTGCTTAATCCTTTTCCTCTTTCATTCCCTTCTCCTAATTTTCACTTCCAAACTCCTGCCACATGCCATTTGCTGCTGTTTGAACTTCATTGCCTTTGCCAACTGCATGCAACCTTGCTCAAAGACCCATTTATTTACCAAAAGTCTAGACCAGGGGTGTCAAACTCGTGGCCCAGATGTGTTATGCGCTGGCCACGCCCACCCCTATTTTAGCAAAGGGGGAAAAGTTGTGGTAAGTCATGTGACGATGTGTCATCGTGAGTTTGACACCCCTGGTCTAGGCTTACATGTTTTCCAGGTTTGCCTTCAACAATTCTGGGGGTCAAAAGGTATCAGGCCTATTTCTCACTAGGCTGCTGAAGAATTCTGACGGCTGCAGCCTAGGATAGTAGCCTCTGATAGGCTGCCATCATGCATGATTAAATACAGGTGTGGTGAATAGCCCTGGTAAAATCCTCAGCAACCCTACCTGTACAAGGCAGATGCTGTTCTCTTTAGTCCTTTTGGTCTGTTGGGCTTCGGTTCTCCAGCCATGTTTATATCTGCAACGAATAATGGTTTGGAATTACTGTAGTATCTTTCCCTATCTGTCCTTAAGGCAAACATTCAAAACAAATTTAAGCTATTTTTAACAATTCTTTTGGGGTCAGGGTTTGCTACATAATTTTGTTTTAATACTGGACAGCAGTTATTTTCTTCAGCTATACCTGTTATATTCAGAGAAGCAATAGTGTTTTCTTTTTTGTGAAAAATATACAGTATATGGTATATTTATATTCTGCAATGATTTTCAATAAGTCCTGTGGTCCCATTAATCATTTCCCATCTAAGTAATTCATCAGTTAATTCATCAAATACAATTAAATATATTTTCACATTATCAAAGCCTTAAACTCATAAAAAAATCTATCCCATATAAGGAAGATAAGTCACCTTAAGCCTTATGCACACAATAATCATCAGAGTCCATTATGAACAAGAATAGATCTCCTTCTTGCTCCCTCACTATTTGCAGGACCTTGAACCACTTAGAAAAATTGATTCATGAAGAATTCAACACCCACCTAAGTCATAGATATTATAACTAAAAGTCGGCCTTCCTATGACAAGCATAGGAAAAGATAGTCAGGCTCCTTAATAACGCATTGTTTATGTTACTTTAAACTCCTCTTCCAAAATACCCATGCTAAAAGCTGTGCAGGTCAAATGTCACCTGTTATAATTGAAGGGATGTTTCTTAATTTCAGCACTGAAAGACTGAATCGGATGCTTTGATCTGCCAAGAAAATTTGCCCTACCCTCCATTCCAATGGGTTCAGTGGAGACTAAGACATATAACCACTTTTCACTGCCTTAATAGAAACTAAACAAAGCAATTTAAATGTAAAAAGGTACTGCTTAATAGAAGCAAAGCATAAGAAAAGGGTGGGTCATTCCTACATGATCTGTGAAAGATGGTGCAATATCAGTGATGACTTGCACATAGATCCAGATCATTGTGGTCCTACGGCATAACATGAAGATATAATACAGCAGCTTAGTAATGTGAAACAGGCTGGGATCTGGATCAATGCCTGGATGGGAACATCTGCTTTTAGGAATCCTACCCCTCAATTGATACATTAGACCGGGGGTAGCAAACTGGCGGCCCATGGGCCAGATGTGTCACACACAGGCCACACCCACCCCAGCTCCGTGAAGAGAAAATATGTTGTGAAACATCACGCGACGGCAATGTGACACCATGAGTTTGACATCCGTGCATTAGACTAAAGCAATCCATTGTGGCTTGATGGATTTTAGTTCTATCTGTTTGTCTGTCGTATTTACATACTATTGAAATTATATGGCTCTGAATAGTATACATTCACAGAAACATAACACAGTAAACTTTGAAACTATACAAATCTACCAGTTGTAAACATTACAATGCAGTGGCACAAATGCACACATTCATTTTTAAAGCCTTGGGTAGCTTTTTGAAAGGCCACAGGTTGGTGTCAGTTTGACCTCCAATGGGAGGCTTCTTCATATAGGGGAAACATCGTACAAAAGCATTGCTCCTAAGCCCCCACAGATCTCAGATTTCATAGATTCAGAAGTTGGATATCCCCAACTAATACGAGGGAACTAAATGGATCAGTTCTTATCTGGAGGTGATACTGCAAGTATCTAGGAGCTAAACCATTTAGGTTCTAAAAGTTTAAACGAATGTTTGAACAATATTCAGAAATTTACTGGAAGTCAATACAGCACCCTCAAATAGCACAAGGGCAAAGAGATTCAAAGGATTTTTTAATTAAAGACAATTTTACTATCTCAATTTTTAGTTATGTCAAGCAATTAACTACTAAAAAAATGACTGTATATTGTACTGTATGTATAAAAGAATAGAAGTATGGATGTTTAAATTTTTGCACTCTTTAAGTTTACAAAGTTGTTTATATATACTCAAAACTATGTGTGTGTCATTTCTATTTTTTATTTTCTTGACTTCTGTGCCTTTTTCATTCAACATTATATGATTATATATATATTTAAAAGATTCAACTGTCTAGTAATGAGTAGATGCAAAATAAATGAATAGAACCATTTTATATCAGGGGTGAAATCCAGCAGGTTCTGACAGGTTCTGGAGAACCGGTAGCAGAAATTTTGAATAGTTTGGAGAACTGGCAAATGCCACCTCTGGCTGGCCCCAGAGTGGGGTGGGAATGGAGATTTTGCAATATCCTTCTCTCAGGAGTGCAGAGGGAATGGGGATTTTGCAGTATCCTTTCCCTGGAGTGGGGTGAGAATGGAGATTTTGCAGTATCCTTTCCCTGCCATGCCCACCAAGCCATGCCCACCAAGCTATCCCCACAGAACCAGTAGTAAAAAAAATTGGATTTCACCACTGTTTTATATACATGTATTGTAGCCTCATCTGACATTCTTAAAATTATATTTTAGTTTTGTTCTAACTTTGCAAAAGACAATCAGAGGACAGAATGTTTTGTTTCAAACAACTGTTTTCCCCTTAATAAAGCAAAAGCAAAATGAAGTAAAATGTTGGAGTTCTTATTTCAAGCCATATACCCGTCTTTGCAAGGAAGGGAATAGGTTTTCTGCCTCTGCAGAGGTATGTCTAATGCTCCTGCTGTCTTCAGTATTGCTACCACCTACTGGGAGATCAAAAATGTCAATTCCTGATTGAAATGCTATATTCAACAACAATTCTCAGCTTACTCCAGGTGACTTGAGCTTCTCAGTGGGTGATATTTCAACACCTCATGTTAAAAAAAAACAAAAAACTAAGCAGTTTGTTTCAACTAGGAACTATGGGGCTGTTCTATTTGGCTCTTCCATACATTGGGAATAGAAGTCTGAAAAGTTAACATTTATTATATTAAATGCCTTGTAGAAAGGCCAAAGCCTCATGCCACCCTTTGCCGTCCCTCCTTCCTTCCTGACCTCCCAGTGAACCCCAGACAACTGAAGGGGTTGAAATAGGTTGAAATTGACAAAGCGTATCTTAGAAATTGGCAACGCAACTTAATTAAACAAAGAAAATCCCTTCTAGATATTGAAAGTTCCTCATTTCTATGATAGATTTCCTCACATAAAACCTTTACCCTGAGGTCACCACTTCAACTGACAAATCATAAAAGATGGCAAAACCTCACAAGAAAGCCAAACCACGTCTCCTCTCTACTGGGCAAGGGAGGCTAAGTTCACACATTTTCTAGGAACAACCATAAGACTCCTCTAAAAAAGTAACTGCTTTTAAACTGTAACTTGTAGCCACCTTTGATTATTGTGACTTGTTTGTCTTGTTCTTCTGAGAGATCCTTGGTACTCTCTGAGCTTGGTTGTTTTCTTGTAGAAGATGTTTCATTACCTAAACTAGGTAACATCCTACTTTGAGTAATGAAACATTTGCAAGCACAGAAGATGTTACCTAGGTTGGGTAATGAAACATCTGCAACAAAACAACCAAGCTCAGAGAGCACCAAGGACCCCACATTTTAACCCTGAAGTACAAATATTCTCCTTTATTGTTCTGCTTCTAGCAACGGTCTTGTGTTCTTTGGAAAACCCAGCTTGAATCAGACCAAGAATTTCTTCCAAGAGTCTAAAAAAGAAACTATGGACCAGCATTAAAAATATTTGTTTTAATATGGAAGACGGCTAGGTTTCTGAATGCTCAGGAAGGAATCAGAATCATGGCCATAGACAAGAGGAAGGGAGAGTTTCAACCAGTGTTTTTCAAACTTGGCAACTTTATGATGCTGACTGGGAATTTTGTGAGTTAAAGTCCACACACATTAAAATTGCCAAGTTTGGAAAATATTGGTGGAAACATTTCTTTCCTTGCTGAAGTTCTAACCCAAATCTCAATCTGCTATTTTCATGCTGAGGAGTCAGCTTTGAATACTCACTAATCCTCCCAAATGCACAGATACTATTTTGCTCATATTGATTGGCCAGTAACCTATCCTAAAAAAAAATAATAATATTGCCTGATATTAAAGCTCTGCCAAAAAACTGCTTTGAAACTTCCTAGGAAAGTTTGCTTGTGAAAGAGGTTTCTGTTTCCACCCCATCTTCTCAAAAGGCTTATGTATTTCAAATTTGTCTTGAAGCCTTAATATTGGAAGTGGTGGAGGGTGCTCTTGCTATTTGCTGTTACAGATCTGAAAGCATCACATCAAAATCTCCCTGTCTGACAAGATAATCCACTATTTTTTTCCCCCTGAAAAAGCCCAATGGGAGGAATTGCTTGCTGGTGCCTTCCTTGGAGATTGAACTAAATCCTGGGAGGGCTGCAGAGTGCTGGAGATGAGACTGTGGGCAGTGAAAGACAGGATGTTGGCACATACTCCTTGACCAATTCCTAATAAGACAATGTCAAACTATCATTTTTCACTCCCCACTCCTTAAAAAAAAAAAGGATGTTTTCATCAGAAACATATACAGGACAATTTTCCCATATAGCATTGCAATACAGGTGGAATTACGACAGTAACTGAGCCCAGCATTTCCATTGCTAGGCAAAGTAGGTGTTAAGTGAGTTTTGTCCCATTTTTATGAACTTTTTTGCCACATGTATTAAATTATCACTGCAGTTGTTAAATTGGTGATATGGAAGTTAAAAGAATGTGGCTTCCCCATTGATTTTGCTTGTCAGAAGGTCACAAAAGTTGATCACATTACACTGAAACACTGCAAATGTAAATACACACCAATTGCCAAACATCTGAATTTTGATCACATAACTATGGGGATGCTGCAACAGTTGTAAGTGTGAAAAAGGCTCATAAGTCACGTTTTTCAGTGCTGCCATAACTTTGAATGATCTCTAAACAAATGGTTGTAAGTCAAGGACTACCTGTAGATATAACTAATAGATATAGCTGTAGAGATCAGTAGATAAAGCTACTGTACCTGTAGATATAGCTAATGCCTGTATAATATCGGTTTGAATGGAAACAAGCACTGCAGAAAATGGTACAGACAAGATACTCCAGTTAGCCAGCTCATTATGGTTTACATTGCTAAT